ACTTTTGCCCCTTTCTACGATGTTTCTTGCCACGCTGGCTAAGTGAATCAGTGCAGTTGTTAAATTAGTAATGTGGTTGTTAGCTGAATCTGGCTTCACTTGGCTTGTCAGAAATTCACAAAAGATGTCTATGGAGGTTCTCAGTTATGGTTGTGTGCATAAATCCTTCCACTCCCCACCATCTAGTCACAGCTGAAGAAGCTTCTTGGATGAGAAGCAAAACGTCTTCAAAAGAAACACAAGAAAGTCCAGTTGCCTCCAGAAAAAAAAAAAAAAAAAGCACCTTTGGGGCAGTGGTGGGATTTAGCCGGTTTGCACCAGTTTGGGAGAACTGGAAGCTAATTTTTTGTTGATTTCAGCGAACCAGTTGAAGCCCTAGTCTTTTTTTGCAAGGCCCAGAACAGAGCATCGGAAATGCATGGATGCCACTTCCGGAAGTCCATTCTGGGCCTCAGAGGGCCAGGCCCACAACGGACTTCTGGAAGCGGTGTCCACTCAGAGAACCGGTTGTTCAGGTATTTGAATCCCACCACTGCTTTGGGATCATAAAAGATGATCACATGACCCCAGGATACTACAACTGTCATAAAAATGAACCAGTTGCCGAGCATCCAAATATGAATCATGTGACCATGGGATGCTGCAATGATCATGAGTGCAAAAAAGTGGTCATAAGTCACTTTTCCAGTGCTGTAATGATCACTAAATGAACTGTTATAAGTCGAGGACTTGTTGTTGTTAGTTGCCAAGTCGTGTCCGACCCATCGCAACCCCATGGACAACGTTACTCCAGGCCTTCCTGTCCTCTACAATCTTCTGGAGTCCATTTAAGCTCACACCTACTGCTTCAGTGACTCCATCCAGCCACCACGTTCTCTGTCGTCCCATTCTTCTCTTGCCCTCCATCTTTCCCAGCATCAGGCTCTTCTCCAGTGAGTCCTTCCTTCTCATTAGGTGGCCAAAGTACTTGAGTTTCAACTTCAGGATCTGGCCTTCTAAAGAGCAGTCGGGGTTGATCTCTTTTAAGACTGACCGATTTGATCACCTTGCAGTCCAGGGGACTCGCAGGAGTCTTCTCCAGCACCAGAGTTCAAAGGCCTCCTTCTTTGGTGCTCAGCCTTTCTTATGGTCCAACTTTCACAGCCATACAAGTCGAGGACCACCTGTATTTAAATTGCATTTATTATTTAAATTTATTCGCCACCTAACTCCAGTGGACTCTGGACAGCACACAAAATGAGGGAAAACGTAAAAGCAGCTAAAGCATCAAATCAGGCAGACAGCCCAGACTAAAATAATCTGATAGACAGCAAAAATAATTGAACAAACAATAAACATCAACTCCAGGTCTGGGACCAAAGCCAGGAGTTGATGTTTATTTAACTTGGAATCAGAGAATATAGTTCTTAGAGTAGCAACCTTCAGTCAATATCTATGATTACACAAATTAGAATAAAACAGGTACCTATCCAAACACTGAAAAGAATTGCACAAACGATTTACATGAATGCAGCGCTGGTTCTTGTAATGCACTGTTTTGCCACGGCGGTTCCCTTTATCTCATGTAATGAAATTCTCTTTAGTTATTTCATATAACAATCGTTACAGAGGGGGAAACCCTCTGATTATCCTGGATGCTTGTATTCCTTTGTCTTAGATGACAGTAGTAATAAGTGGGTAAAGGAAACAGATATTGTACATTCCTACAAAAATGAAAAAAAAAAAATATGGTAGGACAAGAAAGGAAGCGTAGCCACAGTTTTAAAGCTATCCTGAGATCAGGAAACTGGCTTCATAGAGAGTTGCTTTCTTGGAAATCAAGACTTTAGCTGTGAACAACCAAGGAAGCTCCATTACTTGCTAGAAGGAAATAGAAACCATATAGTTATATAGACAGTATTGCGCAGGTCCAAAGAGCATCATTAGGCTATGAATTCAGTGGAATTTCCTGCAGAGATAGGTATGGGTCCTCTGTCTCTCTCTCTCTCTCTCTCTCTCTCTCTCTCTCCCTCCCTCCATTCCTTCTCTATTATTCCTTCTTGAGATGAAGTTTAAATTTATTCATCATGTAGCTCATCAGTGCCTCCAAGCACCCATCCACGCTTCCAGCATCCGATTCTTAACCAGGTAGCAAGCTATATTCATTCATTTTATTTATTACGTTTATATACCACCCATTTTCTGATACAGCTATTCTGCGATGATAAGCAGGACTTGCAATGAATTGTCTTGCTCCGTCCTACATCTCAGGACTGCTACTGCTGCAAAGCCTATGTAAAAGATGTTCAGCAAAGGCCCTCCCCCACCCCCACCCCCAATTGTAGAAACTAATAAATGGCCCCAAATTGCAGGGCTGAACAAGGCAGAATTCTGCATGGCATCAGTGACTAATCTTGAAACAGACCCGTGCTGATTCTTGATCTTTTCGGAGTAGTGCAGATGGACAAAGGGATAACAATGCCTGTATAATTCGCATTGCAAGAGTGAAGCAAAAGAACCAACCCCCCCCCCCAACAACAACCTTCCCACCCACATGCAAAACCCTGCAGGGGCCAGAAGGAGAACAGAACAGTTAACAACTGGAAGTCAGTTTGGGGTGCCTGAGCTTTCTGTGTGTCCCCACAAATTACTTTGATAAGGTCACCCTTGAAGGTTGAAGTGATTACAGAGCGGAATCAGTCAAAAGCATGGATTTTCTGCGGCTGACTGTCCTTTCTCTTTGCTGTCACTGCTACCTGAAATTGGTATTCATCACACTTAGCCGTCTAGACGCCTAGCCTTTCCAGAGGTTTTGCTGAGCTCCTTAGTGGTGTGGGTGACATGCACACAATTATCTTCACAAAGCTAGGATGCGACTGATGACGTCCACTCTGGCCGGCTGGATCTGTTTTCCTTCCTTCCTTCTTTCCTTTCTCCCTTTCTTTCTTCCTTCCTCTCTCCCTCTTCTTCCTTCTTCCTCTCTTCCTTCCTCTGCTCACTCAGCCACTTTCCTTCCTTCCTCCACTCACCTTCTTTTCCCTGATCCCTTCTATTTATCTCCTTCCTTCCTTCCTTCCATCCATCCATCCATCCATCCAGCCTCCCTCTCCTTCTTTCTTCCACTATTCCTTCATCCACTCATCTTTCCATATCTTTCTCCTTCCTTCCTTCCTTCCTTCTTTCCTTCCTTCCTCCCTCCCTCCCTCCCTTCCTTCCTTCCTTCCTTCCTTCCTTCCTTCCTTCCTTCCTTCCACTAATTATTTCCAATACATTAGGCACTATTGTAGAAGGAGCCTATGTCCTTGATTATGAAGGCTCTGCTGTAATAAATTAGACCTTCATATTGTGCCATCACTGTAGTGTTTCTTTCACCATCTACTATAGCTGTTCTTTCAAAATCCCTCTCCAGCCTACTATTCATTCTTCTGTTTTTCTCATGAAGGGCCTTTTTTAAAACTCTAAATGCTATCTGGATGTTTATGCTGAAGCTTTAGCTTTAGCTTATCATTTTTACTTTGGCTTGTTTTTAAGCACAGATCCCTAATCACAATTCTGCTGCCTGTAGAGCTCCCAACTTAGCTTGCAGGAAAATGCATCCTGGGAAAAGATAGCCAGGTACGTCCACAGATTTGAGCTCATTTAATTGAAATGAACTTTCAGCAGGTCACTGGCTAATTGCTATTACAACATTAAAAAATATAAATATTCTAACTTCTCAGTGATGAGTTATCTATACAAAGACAATAGATTCATAAATGGTTGCTTTAGGCTAAAAACGTGTTACTTAAAATATGCCAATTTTAGGATTATGCAGGTCCTCACAAGGTAGTTTCCAATCTGCAAAACGAATGGATCATCTAAATAAAATCAGAACAATGACATTATTAGACTTAAAGCACAACAAACAACAGTTAAATATGATCTTAAGATATACAACAAAAGCAATAAAAACACTACCAATTCTAACCCAACATTTAAAAGTGTAAACATCAAATTAAAAAATCCAAGTATATATAGTTCAAAATAAATAGCTGTTTGAAGAACTAAATTGGCAGGTCTTAATCTGTTTCAGTAAGGATAAAAATGTCCAAATCAAGGACCTTAGTTGAAAAGGACTCATCCCTTGAATCTGTACAAAGAATTTGGAAGCCAATCTCAAAGTGAGGACAAAGTATGAGTAATCTGGGCCCAAACCCTAAAGGTCAATACCTTTAGTCTGTTCAGGGTGGCCCAACAATCCAACATCAACTGATTTTCCTTGTCATCTTGCAAGCAGTTATATAAACTGGGGTTTCTGATTGCCTTCAAAGATAGATCTCAAGTAGCATAAATCGAGGTAAGGCACAGCAGAGCATGGGGGGTGGGACTGTGGCAAGGCCTGTTCTTCACAAGCTCAAAACAGTTCTAGCTACTGTCCCTTTCTTTACTTCCACAGACAGCCCCAAGACTACGCAGATCTTCCCTTTTCAAAAGGAACCATAATCTCAATCAATATTGTCCACAAATTAGCTGGCTTTTCAGTCCAAACGTTATCCCTCTATGGGGATTATGTATTAATTTATTTGCTTTTATCATTGGCTCATTTGGAAGAAGTCACACTGAAGTGTATTGGTATGTTTTGCAAAGAGAAATTCAAATAGTATGCTTGTACACTCATGGGTGTCCAAGAGGTTGGGGAAAGCATATGAGGGTCTTCAGAGCTTTGGTGTGGCAAAGAATGCATCATGCCAAGTATGGTGACAAGCATCACAACACATTTGTGATGACTACATTAGATATAGGCACCCTGATTTCTTCACCTGCATCAAGACATCAGGTATACATTTGCAGCATTTGTGTTATGTCATAACACGCATGTCCTTGTGGCATCCTTGTGCTTTACTGGGAATATTGCTTATATGCCTTGGCTAGGGAAGGCTCCAGATAATGCAAACAGGTTAGATTTTGGAGCACAACTAACTATGGAAGCAAAGACTTTGTGTGAATGCAAGCCATCACATGTCTTGACTTTTCCTTCCCAGCAATCTCCTGTGGAGTTCCTAGAGCTCCGAAGAACGGGGTTATTTTTGGCAAGGAATACACCATGGGCAACAAAGCAGTTTACCAATGCGAAGAGGGCTTTCACCTCCATGCCCAAGATAACTCCAGCATGGAGTGCCTGGCTACTGGACAGTGGAGCAATGGCAATAATCCTCCTCCGTGTGTGGGTGAGTCTAATGTGGTCCACCTTCAATCTTCAATCTTCTTTGTCTCTTTTTAAAGATGTATGATGCCTTTGTCTTAATAAGCATCCAGAATAATTTCAAAAGCAACCAGAAGCTTATTGTGTTGGAATTAAAAGACCACCTAAGTTGGTTAGTCTCTTGACAACAGTTGGTTAGTTAGATGCCTTCTGGGAAATTAGAAAGAGGATATTGTATAGAAATCTAAATCTCCTGCTCCAGAGGGCCAAATATTTTCGTTTGTCTGAGCCCAAAGAAAGATCTGAGGAGGGAAATCCTTCTGCTGGACTTTTTTTTAGCTGGGCTGGTAATTTGCTGATGAAGGGAAGATTCTACATTGAGAAAATCAAAGAAACCATTCTGCAGATGATTCTGTCTGTGGTTTTAGTGGAGCAATTTAAAAGCCACTGTTGTACCCTACTCTGGCCGTTCTTTAGTTTCCTTGAGACAAAACTTTCCACGCAGGTATAACTCTTTCTTATATTGATTATTTCTATTATTTCATATGCAAATCAGAAGGTAGAGGCTCCATTGCTAGCTGACAGTGCTAAACACCTTTAGTAGACTTGTCTTCCCATCTGTTTTCTTCCTATAGATCAGTGGTTCTCAACCTTTTTAATGCGACCCCCAACCAGTCGTAAGTCGAGGACTACTCAACTGGTGCAGCACCGTTTGCAGAATGGGACTTTTGGCGGGCTCAGCAGGGCAGAGACAGTCTGGACAATTCCTATTGGCTTTTGAAAGCCAATAGAATTACTCTATTCAAGAGAGTCTATTCTATTGGCTTTCAAAAGCCAGTAGAATAAAAGGAAGTAGCACAGCTAAGGAAAAGGGGAAAAAAATGGCGGACTGCGTTGTTTGGTGACCCCCATAAAATGGTCGTTCGACCCCAAATGGGGTCCCGACCCACAGGTTGAGAACCACTGCTATAGATACTGACATTTCATTTAGTTACCAGGTTCATCGTTCCCCTTGTTCGGAAATCATTCAGTGTTGCCTCAGAGGTTTGCATCCCAACTTTATTCAGCTTTGTGACAAATTTGGGGCCATTTCCAAATGACCACCAGTTTAGAAAAAAAAATCAGTTCAGACTGTACAGTGACAATGACAAATACAACTTTCTCCTCTTATTTATAGCTTTCAGCTGGCCGTTCTCAGCTAGAAAGGACAGATGGATGAGTTTTTAGTTGGACTTAGATTGTTTCTCTTTTCATCTCTTGCTGAATTCAGCGGTCAGCTGTCCTGACATCAGTAGCATTGCTGTGGAACATGGGAGATGGAGGTTGATTCATGAGACCCAGTACCAATATAATGCACAGCTCATGTTGATCTGCGACCCAGGCTATTATTACATTGGGTTTCGTGTCATCGGCTGCCAGGCGAATGGGAAATGGAGCATAGGAGAGCCCATGCCGACTTGTAGAAGTGAGTGTGAGAAATCAAAACAGTGTGTGCACCGGGGAGGATAATATGACACTGGGGGGGTGGGATTGTACAACGATTGAAGAACAGCAGTTTATAAAGACAAGAAATACAAAAATATACACTCCAGATTAAAAAATAAATATCATAAAAACAAATGTTTTCAAAGAAAGCATAAGTAAGAACGGTCATCTTAACAATGAAGTCATCCAAGTCAGGGCTTTTCAACCTTTTCACCGATTGTACCACTTTTAGGATATGGCAATATTCGAGTACCACCTAGCAAGGTGTCAAAAACTTGATGACCCAAAAAAACCCCACAAACCTGTTCAAAGTTGCAATTGCACTGAAATGACTTATGACCATTTTTCACACTTATGACCATTGCAGCATACCCAGGGTCATGTGATTTATATTTGGATGCATGGCAACTGATTCATATTTATGATGGTCACGGTGTCCCAGGGTCATGTGATCCCCTTTTGCAATTTTTTGACAAGCAAACTCAATGATCAAAATCAGAAAGGGTTAACTCCTTCCAGGTCCCATCTTTATGGTACTGTCATCTGTCAAGGCACCAGAAAGTAGGTTTTTCTCAATAGGTGTCCCCACTCCAAAACTCTCTTGGTGTTCTGGTCAGCTTCATCCCTCCTGGGCATTTAGGATACAGTCAGCAACTACTTGTTCCATTTGACTCAATAGGATGGTATGTCATGACCAAAGATAAAGCTTGCGATCATATAACCTATGCTTGGGGAAAGGTTAATGTATATTGTGATTGTGTTATGTTTAGGCATGTTGGAGGATGGGGGTTTAGGTTTTTTGGTGGCCATTACCCTTTATATCAATGTTTCTCAACTTCAGCATGTCAAGGTTCTGACTAACGAAACACTTTAAAGAACTTTCAAGCATTGTTTATCCTAAAAAGTCTTTAATTGTGAAACAAAGTGTCGGCACAGCATGGTGGATGCCAAGATCTGAATTCCCCTCCCCTGAGCACATAATATTCCAGCACATTCCCCTCCTTTAATTTGCAGTCATAAATCACGTTCTCCAATCAGTTTGAAAAACAAAGTTCCCCTTCTGTTCTGTAGCCCTGGTTTCTTATCTTAACGAATCCCCACACACATTCTTTCTCCTCCCCTCCCAGCATCATCTAATTTAACTCTAAAAGTACCACACAGCTTATACAGAGAGTGGCTGCCTCTTCATATTTTGTCAAAGCAAGAACATCCAATGTTATCAGCATTGACACAGCAGCTTTAAGATCATCTTAAAGCTACTGAAGTTGAGAAACCCTGCTTTACAGTATTATGAGATTGTTAGCCTTCCACAGACTTTGGGAATGGGTAACAGACAAAAAATAATAATAAATAAATATACAAATATTTTATAAGGAATCAGTTCTGTTCCAAAACAATTATATAATTGGAAAAGCTTCCAGAATACATTCTTAGTGATATATCATTTAATAATACCTAGCACACCAATTTTATAGCTAAAATTATTTTCTTATAAAAAAATCATGATGCCTTAAGTCTCACTTTTGTTGCCAAAGTTTTGTAAAGCAGGAAGATTTGGGAATCCGTAAAAATTGGCTTAGGAGTTGTATACTCACAAGAGCCAGTCACTTCTTGACAACTCGCTAAGACGCGGTTTAGTGAGTGCCACAAAATCCTCCATCCTATGTTCTACAAAACTAGCCACCTGAGGTTGATTAAATTAAGGATGATTGAGCAATCTACAAATTACTGTAACATACACTGCCAAGTTTGAAGAGTCAATGAGCTCTCTTTTGTCCTAGTGTCCTTTGCTAAGTACCCTAAGTTTGTTCGTGTGTGTCTTAATTTTAGTCATCTCCTGTGGAGACTTGCCCGTGCCACCCAATGGAAACAGGATTGGGACTTTAACCACTTATGGAGCTACTGCCATCTTCTCCTGCAATAGCGGCTACACCTTAGTGGGTTCTCGTGTGCGAGAATGTATGGCCAACGGTCTTTGGAGTGGACTAAAAGTGACATGCTTGGGTGAGTATAGGACTACTGTTAACCTGATCAACTGGGGGCCATTCATAATCCCAAATAGGAGACCTGGGGACCATTCAGAGGATGTTTCTGCACCCATCTTTAGAAAGTGATAGAACTAGACTTGCAAGCAGTGGATTAATCCAGCACAATTTCAGTTGATAAATGTATAAGGGACAGTTTTAATCAGCTGCTTTTAATTTATGCATTGCATGAATTTCTTTTTTTCTTCTTGCTGAAGAATGAAATACTGTATTGTACAGGCCACTTGCTACCAAAAAGTACTTTTATGTTGCTTTTGGTTAAATTAAACCTTATTTTACACTTTATTATCAGTTCCAGATGGGGACACGTCTTGAATAGTCTTAATAAACAGAATTAATGAAAACTGCAATGGATTCTTGCTGCTGTTTTTCCTTTTATCCTTGCTTTATAACTGTTTGATACGTACAAAAGACTTTTCAATTTCTCTCTCCTTGTTGGAGTTGCCTGTTTCCATCTTTGGAAACCTGATATAATTGAACATATCTTTTAAAAAATACTAGTAGCTTTTAGGATGTTTATAGGAATTTTCATCGACTATAGCAGTAGATGAAAAATCCTATAAATATCTAAAAACCGAATAAGTTTAGCAGTCTCTTGACAATGTTGACTCATCACCCATATAAAGAAAGAGAAATCTTATCTTGTTGTCATATCAAGAGGTTTAGAGATGAGGCACACATAAGCAATGTGGAGACAAGTACTTTTAGAGACCTAAAATTTGGGGCATAAAATCTGGAAGTGGTTTCCAAGTGGAAACAAAATTGGCTAGGTTCTTCTCATTAATTAAAATAATTAATGTTGCCAACTCTACACTTTTTCCATCCATGCTTCCATTGTGGAAATTTCTTTCCATTCCTCGCCACCGTCAGCATATAGAACAGTGGTTCTCAACCTTTTTAATGCCGCGACCCCCAACCGGTCGTAAGTCGAGGACTACTCAACCGGTCGTAAGTCGAGGACTACTCAACTGGTGCAGCACCGTTTGCAGAATGGGACTTTTGGCGGGCTCAGCAGGGCAGAGACAGCCTGGACAATTCCTACTGGCTTTCAAAAGCCAATAGAATAAAAGGGAGTATCACAGCTAAGGAAAAGGGGGAAAAAATGGCAGACTGCGTTGTTTGGCGACCCCCGTGAAATGGTTGTTGGACCCCAAATGGGGTCCCGACCCACAGGTTGAGAACCACTGGTATAGAATAACAATGTTCCAAATATTGTTTCAAGCTCTTTATCCAATATCTCTAAAAGAAAAACTTCTGGTTTTGCTTTTATGTTGTTTTAAGAACCTTCTGAATTAAGACAAAATTTGTAGTACCTTTCTTAAGGTACATAGGTATCCAGGAAGGCTTCATTCTACATTGGACTATCACTAATTCTGCCTTCTCTTTTTCCCCACCTCCTCCTGTTTTCTTCTCCCTCCAGCCGGTCATTGTGGTGAACCAGGTTCTATTGTCAATGGCCAGATCAATGGCGAGAACTACAATTACCGTGGCAGTGTGGTGTATCAGTGCAACCCTGGCTTCCGGCTGATAGGCATGTCCGTTCGCATCTGCCAGCAAGATCACCACTGGTCCGGGAAGACTCCTGTTTGTGTGCGTAAGTATGTTGCCATTTTAATTCTACAGCCTGACTCACAACTCTGATAGAGAGCTCAGGAAGGAAAAAAACAAAAGACAAAGAGCGGGTCTAACTGTCCCATTTCTCAGTCCTGATTCCCCAAATGTCTCCTAGTTTTTGATTTTTCAGGCACTGTTTCTCTCCAGCTCTTTTTCTTGGAGCTTTAGACTTTAGAGGAAAACATAACTCACTTTGGCTAGTTGATTGGGTTCGTTGGTCTATCCTTTCATATTTCTAGAATTCCCTGCTCCCTTCTGCAGACCCAGTTAAAAAATGGGGTGAAAACAGAACTTCTAAGGACTGCATACTTTATTGGATCAAAAATACGATTTCTGAAATAGTCAAAGATGCGTCCTAGGAAAATTAAGCTGTCCTACAATTTTGGTTTATCCAATTTTATCAGCAGATCCACTGATGGTTTGATTATGAGCCCATTCCAGACTTCATTTCGGTGAAGTCTTTTCCTCTATGACAAATATCATAGAAATATCGTAGAGTCATAGGGTGGAAGGGACCTTGAAGGTCTTCCAGTCTAACCTTCATTTGTCCAAGATGATGTGAGGCAGAAGTCCTTATAACGTCTTGGACAAATGGTTGTCCCATCTTTTCTTGAAAATCTCCAGTGATGAGGCACCCACAACTGTAGGAGGCAAGCGTTCCATTTAACAATTCACTTAGGTGGATCTGCAAGAGATTCAACTTGTATAAAGAAGGACAGATGTATCAAGGATCACACAAGTCATCATGGTTTTATGCTGCCTTGAGCTTCAAAGGAATCACCCTTTTTCTCCTGTTCTACCCCAGAGCATTTTGGTTGCATTCATATGAAAGAGGATGTTTGGCTGAGCACATATTTGATCTGATTCTGTTTCTATTCTTAGCTCTCTTACTTTGCATTCACCATAGTAATTTATTTGCTAAAGAATGCTCAACAATTCCACTATAGGTCTTCCTCTTGAGAACTAAAATTAATCACATATATTTAAAAGGCATTTAAAAGATGGATATAAGATGCCAAAACAAATCCTACAAATTTCAACAGAGCATCTTCCTGTGGGAAGATCAGTTTGCTAATCTTCCATGAATATGACAGCACTGAGACCACAACAGAAAAAAAAAATCAAGTTGCTTAAAACCTGTAATTAACATTCTTTGACTGGTCTTCTGTGCAGTTGCCCAATCACCTTCCCTTCTCATTGTGAATGCCTAATGCAGTTTGGTACAGCCTGCACGGAGTAGAGAAACCCTTTGGCCTGTAAGACATACAATAGACCTAAGCTTTTCCAACAGGGGGAGAATATCCCTGGAAAAGCAACGGGTGCAAATTCAGATCCCTTATCTGCGATTGGATAAAAGAGGATATGAGACATTTTAGTAATTAAGAAGCAGCTTTTATTTCCCCTTTCCTCTTTGTGCAATACAAAAAAGATGCTAAGACCTTAAAAAGTGTGCAGAGAAGAGCAACAAAGATGAAAAAGGGCTTGGAGGCTAAATCAGATGAATGTTGATAGGCTATGTCTAGCCTATCGAAGAGAAGGATTGGGGGGACATGATACCTATCTTCTAGTACTTGAGGGGCTGTCACAGAGAAAGGGGATTGACCTATTCTCCCAAGTACCAGATGGCAGGACAAGAATAGTGAGTGGAAGCTTATTAAAGAGCTATAAGGAGAAATTTTCTGATGGTGAAAACAATTAATCAATGGAATAGCTTGCCTCTTGGAGTTGTGGATGCTCTATCACTGGAAGTTTTCAAAAATAGACTTGACAACCATTTGACCAGGATAATATAAGGTCCCCTGCCTTCCAGCCCCCTGATTCTATGTTCATTTGTGGTACTAGTGGTTGAGATTGGCTATCTAAAACATGATCCTTGAGGATGAGCTCCAGCACAAGTCCAAAAACTCCGAAGAGTAAACCTCTGGTCCAGTGACTGACTCAGATTGTTTCTTGCAACATTATCCTGGGACACTTATATTTGTTTTCATTCATGAAAAATTGATGTCTCAGAGATGAGAATGGGTTGGAGCAAGAGTGTTGTCCTCAGCACAATAGTGCGATAGAACACCTGACTACCTCAAGCCAGAATATTCATGTTGGATTCTGGAAAAATCCCTCTTTCCAACATGCTTTGTATGTGAACCTGTAGGAAATAAAGAACTGGAAAGCTGTGTGACTTGCAAGATGTTCTTTTGGCCTACAGCATTTTAAGTTACAGTGTGCTATTTCACTATTTTAAAGGAAATAGTGTAGTACGCCCTTTATTTTATTCCCCGATATGCTTTTTAGGAGACCACATTCTGAGTGTACAGCTCTGAGGATTTTAACATTACATGTATGAGTTGATAAGCTTGGCTAAGTTGGATCATGGGGGGGATGTAGAGGAGATTTTTTTATGACAGTTATTTCTATTAAGTATTGAAAAGAGAAATTCTTGCTTCAGGTTAAGCCCAGGTTATGGTGACTGTGAACACATTCATATGCTATTGTCTTCATGGGAATGGTATATAAATGGTTTAATATTTTTTCTGGGATTTTTAAAAATGTCCTACAGTATATCCAACTATCATGTCCAATTGTGTTTTTTTGAAATCAGTCAAGGTGAGTTAAATGCTGCCGTCTTTATACCATCTTGGTATACAACTGCATGAAAACATTGAGCTAAATGTTTGAGAATGGAATCATTAACCTTCACCAAACTAAGACAATTTGCACAAATTATTCCTAGCTTCAGAGAAGGTTAAGCTTCCCATGAAAATTGTAGTGACGAAACTTACTTATGCTTCTATTATTATAATTGATAATATAATAATAATATAATTGTCCTGCAACAATATATGTAACACTAGCAAACAACCACATCTGCCTACCCCATGTCTTCGGAAGGGACTTGATAGGCAGAGTCTAGTTTGAACATCTGGCTGACTGTGCAACCATAATAATAATAATGGTATTATTATTACTGCACAATCAGCCAGATGTTTAGGCTGGGTTGGCATTTTTATCCACCTATCGACTTCTTCCCAAGGACCTGGGATAGGCAGATGTGGATATTTGATGGTGGTACAGATATCATCACACAGTGGTGGGATTCAAATATGTGAACAACTGGTTCTCTGTGTGGATGCTACTTCCTGAAGTCCATTCTGGGCCTGGGCAACAAACAATTAGCTACCGGTTCTGCCAGAGTGGTGCAAACTAGCTGAATCCCCCACAGGAATGAAGGAAGGAAGGAAGGAAGGAATGAGTGGTGGGATTCAAATATGTGAATAACTGGTTCTCTGTGTGGATGCTACTTCCTGAAGTCCATTCTGGGCCTGGGCAACAAAAAAATTAGCTACCAGTTCTGCCAAAGTGGTGCAAACTGGCTGAATCCCACCACCGTCATCACAGGATATAAGTTGTACCAAGTGAAGCTGCCCTTTGCAATTGGCTGATGGTGATTTTAGTGCTCTTGATGTTTTGGAATTGTACCCAAGGCAGCTATTGCTATTAGTACTATAGTTGCTTTATTTTTCCATAGTTGTTCTACTTTTATTTAAGACAGCAATGGCCAGGCTCTTCTTCACAGACAATTGTTGAAAGCAGTTCTTCGGATTATTTGTCTGTTGATTGTTACCTACACAGTGGAAAGCACCGTGTACCTTGGAAAGTATCAGAATAACAATGGGAAGAGCAGAGGTGGCGCAGCAGTTAGAGTGCAGTACTGCAGGCCACTTTAGCTGACTGTGTTCAGCAGGTCAGCGGTTCAAATCTCACCGGCTCAAGGTTGACTCAGCCTTCCATCCTTCCGGGGTAGGTAAAATGAGGACCAGATTGTTGGGGGCAATGTAAATATATATATACATTGCTTACTGGTGTACACCGCTTAGAGAGTGCTTGCACTTAAAGCGGTATATAAGTCTCATAAATAAATAAATAAATGTCTGGCAGAAATGGAGAGGGGCTGCTGAAAAAGCTCCCTGGTATAAAATACAGTTCTTCCTTCAAATAGCCTCCTTTCCCAACTGCCTATGGAGATTCTCAATCATCCAGGTCAAAGGTATTTTTTTTCCAAAAGGTAACTGGACTTTCTCATTGTCATTTTTTTTCTTTGAAAACATTTTCTTTGAAAACTGAAGAAGCTTCTTGGCTGAGAATCAAAATGTTTTCAAAGGAAAAAAACAAAGAAGTCCAGTTGGCTTTTTGACTCCTTTCCCAACTTTTAAAAAACCTGCTGCTAAGCTTAGCTAAGGGTCAGCTTAGAAAGGGGAAAGGGTGGCTTTCATAGTATGGCTCGAAAAGACATCGGATGCTGCTAGAAGACGGGGAAACCTGGGAGAAATCCATTGTAGCACTTCATTCTATTGTAGTTGGCATTTCTATGTCCGTGAGCCGGTGAACAAGGCAGGGATGTAATACCTCGCATTCTCTCTGCAGCCATCACCTGTGGTCACCCAGGCAACCCAACAAATGGCCTGACCCAAGGCGCTCAGTTCAATCTCAATGATGTGGCCAAGTTTACATGCAACGTTGGATATCACCTTGAAGGGACTTCCAAGTCCCAATGCTTGGCGAACGGCCAGTGGAGTAAACCCTTGCCCATCTGTCGCAGTAAGTTGTGTTTCTCTATCCCCCTCCTTCTCTCCTCCCCCCCCTTTATTATTTCTGCAATCTAAATCTGTTCTACAGCCTGGAGCAGCGTCTCTTCTGATGGAAGCGCCGTCAGCGTATCCCGACTGTGCTTCTTTTCAATGTGTCCCAGCAGATTCTTAAAAGAAAGCAGGGTGTGCAGCTCAGCACAGTTCAGCTTCAGTGTCGTGTGGAAAGCGTAGATAAAAAGAAAGCTCCCAGCCTAACAGCTTGCTGATGATTAAAACTAAAATCGCATTATAACGTTCTTTATTTCATTTAAAAGACTTGCACGGCTGCCCATCTTAAATCACAACTCTGGGTGGCTCGCAATCCCCGTAAAATGGCAAAAATTGTAAAACCATAAAAACAGAAACTAAATGAATAAAGTTCACCCAAAATGCGTAATTGTAATGTTTCAACCATTATTTAAATGAGTGCAGCAAAAGGCATAAAGAACCTAGAGCAGAGGTCCCCAACCTTGGCCACTATATGACTTGTGGACTTTCAACTCCATGATGGCTGAGGAATTCTGGGAGTTGAAATCCATAAGTCATAAAGTGGCCAAGGTGGGCGACCCCTGACCTAGAGTATTGTTTAGTTTTGCTTCATCAATGAGCTCTAGTCAACCAATCAACTCTCACCAGTACAATAGAAAAGAATATATATATAGGTCTTTGGTTATTCAGGTTTTCTCCTGCGTCAAATTGGAAGTGTCTTGGTAACGTTTCAACGAAGTTTCATTTGTCATCTTCAGGCTGGTGTTTTCGGCTTCGTGCTTCTTGCTCCTAGAAGCATGAAGCCGAAAACACCAGCCTGAAGATGACGAATGAGACTTCGTCGAAACGTTGCCAAGACACTTCCAATTTGACACAGAAGAAAACCTGAATAACCAAAGACCTACATACAAACACCCACGAGAACCTCAGAAAACAAACATGACACATATGAAAAAGAGGCGGCACTTTTTGCTCACACTCCTGAATTGGTATATTGTCCTCCCATGTTATTTTAAAAAATGGAAGGGAAAAGATGAGATTCTTTTCCTTCTTGGTAACGATTTCTCTCTCTCTCTCTCTCTCTCTCTCTCCCCCCTCTCTCTTTGTAATATTCTTTTTATCTTCTGTGATTTGCTTGCAGTTGTAAATTGTACTGATCCTGGGCACCTGGAAAACAGCGTCCGTCAAGTGCAACCAAATGGGCCTCACAGATATAGTTTTGGAACAACCGTCTCTTATCAATGCAACCATGGATATTATTTACTGGGTACTCATGTGCTTGTGTGTCAGGGCGATGGCATTTGGGATCGGCCACTCCCTGTCTGTCATAGTAAGTTCCTTGCTTTCCTTTTGCTTTGATTTCCATTCAGTTCAGAAAATGAATGTATCATTTAAAGTGTCAGAATCCAATTATATTTCATTTCTAGTTATCTACTATGGGAAAAAAAAACATTTCTGCCCTCTCTGGATTCTGTCATACTACGAAGGGGAAGGGGGATGAGCAGGGGGGTTTTCTGGCTCGCACTTCAGTAAACTACAAAAGGATGGGATGTTGATTCCCATCAAGAGGACTTACCGTAACAATATGGCCATTGCCTTTCATCTACTCAGCTCTCTGAAGTCTTCCTTTTGCCAGCAGAGATGGAAAAGGGGGGGGGGAAACAAGGCAACGCCTGGAATCTGGGAAAAGAGGATGAGTGATCATCGCCGGAAGAACTATGAGGGGGGCTGCTTGAGAACACTTAAAACATTGAAGAGTGGGAGAGAATTCCTCAGATCCTGTCTAGAACGCCTGCAACCATCTTCTCTTAATAAAGATGCCTGTTGGAAGAGATATTCCAAGAGTTCTGTCTTCTTAAGATGTAAAGTGGGGTGAGTCCTTACATAAAGGCTCTTTTGAGATTGCAACTGCTTCCCCCTGCCTCTTCTTGGCCCCATGAAAAAGGGGAAAGGGAAACTCCACTGCTTATGCCAATCCTCCAGACTCTTAAGCAAAAACCCAAATTATCTATTTATTTGTATTTGTTTGTATTCCACCTTTTTACAAATGACTCAAGGCAGCGAAAATACCCAACACATCTTCTTCCACCTATTTTTCCTTTAACAATATCTCAGATCTCGGAGTCCTAGTGGACAATCATTTAAATATGAGCCAGCCATGTACTGCAGCTGCCAAAAAAGCCAACACAGTGCTAGCAGAGGGATAGAATCAAGATCACGTGAAGTATTAATACCACTTTACAAGGCCTTGGTAAGACCACACTTGGAACACCGCATCCAGTTTTGGTCACCACAATGTAAAAAAGATGTTGAGATTCTAGAAAGAGTACAGAGAAGAGCAATAAAGATGACTAGGGGACTGGAGGCTAAAACATATAAGGAACGGTTGCTGGAATTGGGTATGTCTAGTTTAATGAAGAGAAGGACGAGGGGGGACAGGATAGTCTTCCAATATCTCAGGGGCTGCCCCAAAGAAGAGGGAGTCAAGCTATTCTCCAAGGCGCCTGAAGGCAGGACAAGAAGCAACGGATGGAAACTAATCAAGGAGAGAAGCAACCTAGAACTAAAGAGAAACTTCCTGACAGTTAGAACAATTAACCAGTGGAACTACCTGCCTCCAGAAGCGGTGAATGCTCCAACACTGGAAGTTTTTAAGAAGAGACTGGACAGCCATTTGTCCGAAATGGTATAGGGATACCTGCCTGAGCAGGGGGTTGGACTAGATGACCTCCAAGGTCCCTTCCAACTTTATTATTATTATTATTATTATTGTTGTTGTTGTTATTACCCTGTGAACTCAGTTGGGCTGAGTGAGAGTGACTGGCCAGTCACTTAGCCAGCTTTCATGGCTAAGGTAGAACCTGAATTCATGGTCTTGTGCTTTCTATCCCAGTGCTTTAATCACTAGTTTATTTATGGAGACGGTAACTTCCCAGGGGAATTTTTATGTTGTACCAACTTTCTCTAGATTTCTCTGTTCTCAACATAACAACACACGATCCATTGAACTCTGACATTTTCAAATTTGTGTGTAGTTAAGATGCTTGGAGGATCAGATATATTCAACATTTACCCCTGGGGAAGTCCACCCTGGAAAAATAGCGTTTCAAGATTAAAATAATAAGTGTTGCACCATTGTAAGGAAAACAGTGATCAATCAAGATAAATACATAAAATAAACTATCCCCTTTAAAGCAAAAACAAAAACCCCACACGGGTGATATCGCAGAAATTCAGGGAGACCCTTCCAACAGAAACCATAGCAAAATGATCATTTTGGTTTTCTGTTATTCCTCATTATTGGCTTGCTTGTTTGTGCCGAAAGCCTACCAGCATCTAACGGGACTCCCCCTTTTTAGCAGGATTTTTTTTTTATTTCCCTATTTCCTGGGAGAGAAAGGGAGAGGGGACGGGAGAGAGAGAGAGAGATGGCTTCCATCATATTACAGCTTCATCTGGTCACTTGGCTCCTATCAGTGTCCTCTCTGAGAGAGAGAAATAGGAGCCATTAGCCACTAGAGATAATAAACTCAGAGGATAATAAACAAAGGAGAAGCTAGGCAATTAGTGGCCTCTGGTTCTCTGATTCTCTCTATTATTAGGCTGAAATCCCTCTCCTCTCTCTTTGTCTGTGGTTGGTAACCTCATCATGCTGGAGGTCCACTTCCAATGTTGTGAAACCACTTGCAGGAAGCCCGGCCAATGATGAGAAATTCTGGGACTTACGGTCCAGCAATATTCCCTGATTCTTGCAGCTCCCAACTTGCTTTAGTTTCAAAGAGTTCGGAAAGTGTTTTTGAAGTGCCAGGGACTCATTTGTAAGTCCCCATTTGATCTCAATGAATGACTCTTTCACAGCCTATCAATCCTCCCTCCCTTCCCTAGATAAGGGTCGTGAAGAAAAGGTTTGGAAATACTCTCATATAGACGACTTTGAACTCCCAAAGAAAGCCACGCAGGGTCATTTTGATGCAGTGAATGCAATATTTGGAAGAGAAGCTTCAGAGCTCCTTAACCCCCGTCTTGGGCCAGCTAAGAAATCAACTATGGTTATTCTTCCACAGAAAGCAAGGAAGAGAAGATCAGAGACCAATTCCACCTCTAAAATTACACGAATGGGGCCAGTATATGCTTTAAAACTCTGCAGCTATTGACCAAAAAAATAAAAAATAAAAATAGAATTTAGGGTGAAATGCCTCTCTGTATTTCTCATCTTTATCTCTTTCCAATGCCTTTAATCCGCAACTCTGTCCCATTTAAATGAGTACATTCTTTTTTTTTTAATAATTTTTTTTCCAAACTCTCCCCCATACATATACCGTGATATTTATCAGATGTTAACATACATTCTTTTTACATTCATATATAAGATACTTTTGATAAAATGAAATAAATACATACACATGACTTTTGGTGTTGCTCGCCCATTTCCCCTTTCACTGTATCCACATTCCTTTTTCTCTACCTTCTTTCTCCCTTTCTTCTCTTCCCTACTTCCCTCTTCTTCCTCTCTTCTCCTTCACCACTCTCCTCCCCTTTCTCCCCACTTCTCCTCTTCTCCTCCAACCTTCCTACTTCCTTCTCCCCTCCTTAAATGAGTACATTCATCTGCACTTAAAGTAACAAGAGAAAAAAAAAAAATCAGTGGAATTAAAATCCAGTTTATATGTTCATCAAACAGTCTGTCTCAAATCAGCTCTTAACACAATTAGCAAAGCCTGAATTCTTAGGAGGTCTGGGGAATAATTCAAGACAGAATATCGGCCTAAATAGGAGAGTTTCTCCAAGGGTAGATATTGGTCACACCATCAGTCTGCTAATTAATATGACTAATGACTTTCAGAGAAATGTTACAGCTCAAGGGAAGACACCAGCCTTATATTTATCAAGACAATGAAGGCCCAGATTTTGCACATTTAAAGTACAAGGTAGTTTGGTTTAAGTGTTACGCCTCTCCTTCCTTCTCTTAAAGCAATCAAAGAACCAAATGTCTTTTTAATTTAATTTCTTCAGCACAATCTGTTTTCCCTGTATTGTTGGCATTTCCATCTTGTCACCGTGGAAAAGTGATACACGAGGCCCATTTTGCTGTAATTAGGGGACTGTTGTACAAGTAAGCTTAAATAGTTGCCGTCTTAGGCACTGGAGCTACTTTAAGAACTTATCTCAAGTGAAATATCTAGGGGGAAAAAAATTAGAAATCCAGCTTGGACATAAACAAGCAGGACATTTTGAGAGAGAAAAAACAAGGGTGTAATTGGAATATTTCAATTAGCTAAATGTAGAGTCTTTGCAAAGTGTTTGGGGAAAAAAAGTGCTTTGCAGTGTGCAGGAACACAAAGGTTGGAAAATAGAAGACAATAATAAAAAAATGACAAGAGGAGACAAGTTGTCAGTATCACTGATGACACATCCATGATCTTACAAGATGCAAAGGAGCAGTTATTGACAGGCAGTCCTGCTAAAATGATGCCATTGAGCCCCAAAGAATCAGAGGTGACTGAATTACTGAATGCCAACTCTCTGAGATCTGAGGAATCTCCTGGACTTCATTGTTAACCAAGTTGTGACATTTTGACAGGCAGACATGGCTTTTTAAGCATCTGGGATGAGTAAATAACCCACCAGACAGTCAGCAGAGTTCAAAAGATTTGAAAGTAGTGGTGTTGTCCACTTCTACTTTCTCTTTCCAGTATTCCCCCATGGAATGAATACTGCATCAAAAAGGACTAGAGAGCTCAGCAGGTCTCCTGCAGAAAAGACCATGAAAGCAATCTAGACACCACTGCCAGAGGTTTACAGGGATAAGTAAATATATATATATATATTAAAATGATGGTGATAGCTATAAACCAAGACCTGGCCTTTTTCATGCTCCATTGACGTGGTGGAGACTTCCATCATCACGTTTAACTGGCTTATACCCCTGGGCCAGCTTTTGACCAAACATAGATCTTACACAATATATCGAAGTGAGTTTGGAAGTTTCTGATGAGTAGTATGAAAGAAAATCAATGAAAGTGGTTTTATAAAGGAATTTCTGCAGAAAATAATAAGTGCTTGGAACAGAGTGGGAAGCTTTGTCTTGTCCCCAGATGAAGACTTCCTTGAGAACAAGGAAGTGCAGATAGTCCTCTACGCACCACCACAATTGGGAGCAGCATTTCCATTGTTAAGCAAGGCAGTTGTTAGGATGTGGCCTTTGACATATCAGTCAAAGACCACAAGCAATACAATTGTGGCAATATAGAAAGTGGATAGAGAGAGAGAGCAAGAGAGAGAGAGAATGAAAGAAGAAAGAAAGAAAGAAAGAAAGAAAGAAAGAAAGAAAGAAAGAAAGAAAGAAAGAAAGAAAGAAAGAAAGAAAGAAAGAACTTTAGTTAAGGTTGAAATGAAAACTTAGTGCTCTTTTGTTTTAGTGGTCTCCTGTGGCCATCCTGGATCCCCACCTTATGCCCAGATCTTGGGTGATGTCCACACCGTAGGAGCGGTGGTGCACTACAAATGCCAGGAAGGCAGGAATTTGATTGGCAATTCCACCCGCACCTGTCAGCTTGATGGGCGTTGGAGTGGCTCTCTACCTCATTGCTCAGGTAAGAAAACTGAGTGGCAAAAGACGTGGGTACCAATGTGGAGGCATGTGGGTTGATTTATCCTCATCTCTTTAAATAGTATTGTTCAGTAAGGCTGTATAAAACAATCTGGATTTCAAGGAAAGTATGCTTTGGAATAGGCCTACGTCAAGGGTAGGCAAACTGGGCTCTTTTATGACTCGTGGACTTCACTGTCAGGCTGGCCCCAACTTGAAAGAATGATCCTTGGCTCCATAGGTGTTAGAGAAAAGATACTTTTACTAGAGAGGTTGAGTGCAGCCTGAGCGAGCAAGCTCTGAAGAAAAACCATGCGAAAATGATATGTTGAAAGCAATCCCCAATGTCCAAAACCTTCCCCCAGGTCTTATTCTGATGTTTTGGGAACGTGGTATCTCTGGCACCAGCAAATTCCTTTCCTAGGACCAGTGTCCTTGAAAAGGAGGAGAGATGACCTCTGGTTCCTGTTGGTGTCCATACTTCCTAATTTCCCACAAGATTCCTTCACACCTCCATCACTCTTCCCCTCCTGAGTACCCCCTCCCCCCTCTCCATTATGGCAATTGCGAGTAAGCTTCAGAAAAAGGTGAAGATAGGCAGCTGACATTCACTTTGGACTGCAATTAAGGATCTTGAAACTGTAAGATTTTTCCACTGTTAAATAAGTGAATAATTCAGCATGTGATGTAGGCTGTAGAGACTTTCACAGCAGGGTTGGGATCTAATTAATTTTGCACCAATTTTTGATGCCAGCACTTACCCATTAAAAACTTGAAGGTGTGCTTCCTGCTTTGTTTATAAGAAAACCTTTTCAAAAAGAAGTTTTTTTTTTTAAAAAAAGAAGTTCTTATTAGGTATCCAGTCAGAAAAAATGATTTGCAAAGTCGGTTTGGAGAGAGAAAAAAATGTGGCCCATTGGTGGTGTTTTACATAGAGAAGATGTACAGCTCAATTTTATACATGTCCAAAAAGAGATTAAAACAAAATTGTATCTCCCACACAAGCAATGCACCAGACTTGTTTTGGAAAACTGCATTTTTTTTTTTAAATGATTGGTGGAAAGGCAATAACAGATGGTCACCACATGACTAAAGGAGCGGGCACTTTCCAGCTGCCAAATCCCTCATTCAAAATGGCTTCCTTGCACACAGACTTCCCTTTTGACTGTAGAGGGAATGACTTACTGGCTCACTAGAGCACCACGTCTCTGTTCCCAACAAAGCCAGCCTCTCTGTTTCTGCAAAGCTAACAGGTGGCCTTGAAACACCTTCCCCTTTGAAAAAAACCAGAATTGGCAAACCAAACCAAAAGAAAAAGATGTAAACAGGGCTAGCAACTGCTGTGTACATCTGCTTGGAATTGTCCCAAGGGTTACTGAAGAGATTGTTTTAGATAGATTTGAACCACGGATGCCACACATCTGTAGTGCTGTACTTTACACAAAAGGGTAGACACCGAGTTGGAGAAGGATCCACAGTCTGAATGTGGGACTCAGTACAGAATATCAACGGAGCCAGGACCAGGAATAGCCGAAAAGATACAGAGGAGTTGGCCAAAGGAAGATGTTAGCAAGGAACATGTTCATGCCTACATATTGATGCTTTCTATATGTGCTGGGACCAAAGGGTAAGAGCAGAGCTGCAGGGGCATCATACTAGGGAATGCTGAATTGCTGTCTTGCTATTTGTTTTATTTTATTCTTTAGATTGTTATTTCTTTATCTGTTTGTTTGTTTGCTTCCTTGCTTTGCTCCAAAACCAGTGAGTAACATTGCTTGTGCCAATGTCAGAACTTCTGCTTTCCTTCGGCAGGAAGCATCCGGGGACTTTGTGGTGATCCAGGAATCCCTTCCCATGGTATCCGGCATGGTGAAAACGAATTAAGTGTGAACAGCACGGTCTGGTTTAGCTGTGAGCCAGGTTACACGCTCCGGGGCTCACTGCAAAGAATCTGTCAAGCCAATGGATCATGGAGTGGCACTCAGCCAGAATGCGAAGGTGGGTCTGGTCAGCAGCTCAGCCTGCAAGGACCTATATGGGGCAAGTCAAATGATTTGGGGTGTTTTATGCTTTCTGAGCTTTTCTTTTCCCCTTTCACCAATATATATATATATATATATATATATATGTTGCTTCACACATTTGTTTATTTATTGATTGGATTTATGTGGCTGCCATTTCACAATAGTGACTCTGGGGGACTTACAACATTTACAAACCATACCAAAACATAATATTCCTTGCCTTCTTAATATTTAATGTAAATATGTATGCCGTTTGCACAGAAGCTGGAGGGATGAGTCCATATATGGTGAATTAACAGTGGCAATAGTATATAGTGAGATTATAATTCTTTCAGAGATTTCTAGCTCTCCACCACCTCACCTTCATCACCTGGACTTCCCAGAAGTGTAATTCACAACCTGGAATTATAAGAACTAATATACACTCTTTCTGGAGAGCAAAAAAATTGCAGAAGGCTATCCTTCCCTTCCTTCCTTCCTTCCTTCCTTCCTTCCTTCCTTCCTTCCTTCCTTCCTTCCTTCCTTCCTTCCTTCCTTCCTTCCTCCTCCTCCTCCTCCTCCTCCTCCTCCTCCTCCTCCTCCTCCTTCTTCTTCTCCTACTCCTTCTCCTTCTTCTCCTTCTTCTCCTTCTCCTTCTTCTTCTCCTTCTCCTTCTCCTCCTCCTCCTCACCCTCACCCTCACCCTCCTCACCTTCATCAAACTTTAAATTGCTAGAATGAAGCTACTGGCTTTGGCTTTGTCACTGACCAAAAATAAGCCATTATCACTACATGTTTACATGTTTCCGGTAGTATCTAACATACTAGCAGATGTCTCTCCACATTCACATAGCACATTGTTATCTGTCAAGAGCCTCCACTTGAGCATATTGACTTTATATTTAGGCACTCCAACTCTCAACCTATTCAGGGTCCTCCAGGTAATATAATAGAGGTCAGATCCTTTAACCATACCCTCCTTTAATCTTATTCCTTGCTCGGTAGTCTCCTTCCTCCATCTTTTAATTCAAATTTGTTCTTGTGTACCCTCAGTAATGTTTGTTCTTGCCAAAAAGCTGTTCCTAGATCTGAGTCGGTGGGCTTGGGGTATAAATCTGCATATGCCTAGCATATGGTTTCACATTTTCAAGCATGTTTTAGATTCTTTTCAGAGGCTACACACTTCAGCTTCACTGACCAGCCTGGATTCATGAGTTAGTTGTTTGCTAATGCCAAGTCTGTATAGCACAGCAAATTTGTCCAGAGATTTAAGATATTTGTACTGCACTGACTTAAATGAAGACATTTGCTACGCTCTTCAGGCAACTATCTACCTTTGGTTGACCTGAACCCCTGGGAAAGTCACAAACAAACTTGAAAAGTGAAAGTGATCATGGTTGAATACAGCTTCTACATTTTCCCCTTTTTTGCCCCCTTTGAGATTATGCTTGTTAAAACTTTGCAGTAAAAAACTGGCACCAGGCAACAAAATACCAAAAAGAAAATACAAGTTCTTACGAGAACATCAAATGTCTTCCAGAAGAGAAGGCACCGCCTAAGTTGGAGGGAGTATTCATCCTTCTGAAAAATTATACTTCAAACAATAAAATTGAAAAAAAGAAATGGAAAATTCCAGCCCTGACTGTTTTATATCTTAGTCATGCTGGCTGGGGAATTCTGGGAGTTGAAGTCCACAAGACTTAAACATCCCTCCCTTAGAGTCTCACACCTTGCCTTGATGGCTGACAAAAATACTTCTCCCAATTATGGATTATTAGATGCCCGTGCCCAACAATTAATCTCTAGAGCAGTGTTTCTCAACCTTGACAATTGCTGGCTGTGGAATTCTGGGAGTTGAAGTCCACATGCCTTAAAATTGTCAAGGTTGAGAAACACTGCTTGAGAGTCCTCTACTTTTACCCTGGAGGTGCCACTAGGAGTCATGACCAACATCCACTAAAATCTCTCTTTAATGGTGGTCTAAGTAACCATCATTTTTTTGTGATTCCAAGCTTGTGTGAGGTTGAGAGCAAAGATTCACATTAAATTTTCCAAGTTTCCCTTACCATACTTTCATCTAAGGATGATCAGCAGGGAAAAACCCTGTTGTCATGGTGACATTTTTCTTTTCTTAAAAAAAAAAAAACTACTCCATTAAGCCATCTCATGCTAGATAAAGTTACATTTAACATCCCTTAGAAGCCTAATAAACATATATATATTCAGATAGCTTTTACAGGAAGAACAGAATAGAAAAAGACACCAGGTAATCCAGTGTAATAAGCTAAGCGGTCTTTTCAAGGGATTATAGTTACTTCTATACTTTAAAAACTTCTGTATTTAAAATCAATGCCAGGGAAGACAGGAAAATGGCACACAGAGAGACCCAGAGAGTATGAGCTTCTATCTGGTTGATCAGAAGCCAAGCTCTGTAAGTTTGCTGGAAATATATTCTGAGGCAGCCAATGACCAAAGAGAGGTCATAATTTGTTATTGTAATAATAATAATAATAATAATAATAATAATAAAGTTGGAAGGTACTTTGGAGGTCATCTAGTCCAACCCCCTGCTCAGGCAGGAAACCCTATACCATTTTGCACAAATGGCTGTCCAGTCTCTTCTTAAAAACTTCCAGTGTTGGAGCATTCACCGCTTCTGGAGGCAGGTTGTTCCACTGGTTAATTGTTCTAACTGTCAGGAAGTTTCTCCTTAGTTCTAGGTTGCTTCTCTCCTTGATCAGTTTCCATCCGTTGCTTCTTGTCCTGCCTTCAGGTGCTTTGGAGAATAGCTTGACTCCCTCTTCTTTGGGGCAGCCCCTGAGATATTGGAAGACTGCTATCATGTCCCCCCTCCTCCTTCTCTTTGTTAAACTAGACATACTCAATTCCAGCAACCGTTCCTTATATGGTTTAGCCTCCAGTCCCCTAATCATCTTTGTTGCTCTTCTCCAATCCCCTAATTATTGTCCTGATGCCTGATAATTCCTCTGTCACTACTTCAAATACCTCCATTTGTTATTTCATTTTATTGCTGCAAAAGGGATGGGTCATGTAGATCAAGCCCAAAATAAATATTTTTATGATGTTCAGAAGGAGCCAGGAACATGGATCCCAGACAAAACTTTTAAATCACAAAATTATGAATGTAGTGCTGTGTATAGAGAATGACAGAAAGTCATTTGCAACTGAAGTGTATTTGACAGATGCTAGGATCTGTATCCAAGACCAAGGGATGCGAAGAAGAGATTTAGAGCTAAGGTGTTGGAACACTAAAGCTAAATTATGGCATGATGCTCTTAGAAGAGAATATAAGAAATTATGACAAGGGTAACCAAGATATTTTTCAGCTTGAGATGAAGATGAGATGTCACATATCTCTCCCATGCCATGATGTTGACTGCCCCATCCCTGGTCATAAGATAGTATTCTGTTCTGCAGAAGGCAATCTCAAGGTAGCTCAGAGGAGGCTTCCTTCTGCATAGAATTTTCTTCTCCCCAAAGACTACGTCACCATACTTCTCAGCATTTGTTTCCTGAGGCAATTTTCTCCTTGCATGCTCAAAGGTGGAGAACCTGAGGTCTCAACGCTGCATGCTGTTCCTTGAAGCACTGCGTGAAGCCTCCAGACTTCCTCCAAAATTGGCAGCAAATTGTAACTGTCAGTGTGGCAGATGGGGAAAATTATTACATCAAGTGAACTGAATTTTAATTAAGTTTTTTTGTTTCATTTTGTCCTGGATCCACTTACATTTTGAAATGTGATCCTTCTCGTATATCGTTCAAAAACTAAATGAGTCTTGAACGTCAATTACGCTGCATACTTTGGTTTTCTAGACCAATGCTGTAAACTGATTTGAGTTAAGAGAGAAGAGGGGAGGGGGGGGAGGGAAGGGAAGGGAAGGGAAGAAAGATTTCCAATGCTCCTGCAGTTTTGCCCATGACAACTCAATGGGGAAGCCGGTGGGAAGTCAAAAGTTGCTTAAGAGGTTTTAAAAAAAATAATTTTGCTTTATTCAAACATGTATAGAGCTGCCAATCTTTTATAAAAGTCTGCATGGCTCCCACTCAACAGTTAGAACAATATCAACAATAAAACAAAATAATACATACTATATATTTATTAAAACCATAAACTTTAAAAGCCCAACACAAAAGTTAAGCTTCCACACATTGTACCTCATTAAATCCTGTCATCCATATCATTGTATCCCAGTAAAGCCAGTTCTTATATGCTTCTGGGGTGACTGGGAGAGTAGAGGCCCACCGAACCTCAAGGGGGGGGGTCTTGATAGAGCAGGAGGAAAAGTGGAAAAGGCACATTTCCTAGATTCCATAAGATGGCAATCTTTAAGGGAAGAAGCTAGTAGCATGCCCACCCAGTATGATATGGTAGGATGGGTACAAATCTTTACGGAATCCCGCAGATAACCTGGCCCTGTGTTCCAGTTTCAGTCCCCAGGCTTGGGATAGTTACATATTGAGCTCTGTGCTTCAGAGATTTGTGGATTTTTGTGCACAAAGCATAGCCTTTAGCTGGACTCTGAGGAACACGCTTTCCCCAGTGTAATTCCCTTCTGTCCACACATTTGGGTGGCTCACCCCTGCCTCTGAGACTGAGAAATAGCAGGCATATGCTTCGGCTGACTTGGGTTCATTTGGCAGCAAAAAAAAAAAAAAAACAGCAGTGTTTATTCTCCAGAGGGACTGTTAATTTTAAGCCTTTTTTTTTCCTTTTGCCCCATAATCATAAAAATTCAGAGGGAGTTTTTTTTCCAAAGAACCCCAATCAATACTTCAAAGGCCACAAATGGTTTGGAATGAAGCAAGCTAATTAATTGCATTTCAATAGCGCTCTGCTGTGTTGGCATTTCCATTTTATGCGACATAAGTTGCCTTGTAACCAGGATCCTCTTACCAGACTGAAGAGTCAGGCTTCGTTTAGCTTTAATTTCCAGCGAGGTTTAAAATGAAAATTGGCATTAAAACAAAAACAAGCAAACATATACACAGAGAAACCAGAGGAACGTTTGTTGTTATTTTTTCCACCCTCCTCTTGGCACCAAACAGGGACGGAGTGAAGAGCAAAGAGTTTGTAAAAATAGTTCTCTTTTCCTAGCCAGTTAGCCATGATGTTTCATTACCTCTGATTGCATTTGAAAATAAGTGTTGTTTTTTTCAATAGAAGATGATATTTGTAGCTCAGAATCCTACAACTGTGGAATCCTTGGTACCTCTCTGAACTTGTTTGTTTTCTTGTAGACATTTCATTACCCAACTAGGTAACATCATCAGTGGTGGTCAGTGGTGGGAAAGTGTACAGAGGGGAAAGTGTACAGGGGGAAAGTGTACAGAGTTTGCAATGAGGGGCTGAGTGTGAGCAAACCTTACTGTCTTTAGCACTGATGATGTTAGTTACTTGGGTAATGAAGCATCTGCAAAAAAGCGAACAAGTGCAGAGAAGACCAAGGATTCTTGTTGTTGTTAGTTGCAAAGTCGTGTCCGACCCATCGTGACCCCATGGACAATGTTCCTCCAGGCCTTCCTGTCCTCTGCCATCTTCTGGAGTCCCTTTAAGCTCACGCCTCCTGCTTCAGTGACTCCGTCCAGCCACCTCATTCTCTGTCGTCCCCTTCTTCTCTTGCCCTCCATCTTTCCCAGCATCAGGCTCTTCTCCAGTGAGTCCTTCCTTCTCATTTGGTGGCCAAAGTACTTGAGTTTCAACTTCAGGATCTGGCCTTCTAAAGAGCAGTCGGGGTTGATCTCCTCTAGGACTGACTGGTTGGATCGCCTTGCAGTCCAAAGGACTTGCAGGAGTCTTCTCCAGCACCAGAGTTCAAAGGCCTCGATTCCTTGGCACTCAGCCTTTCCCAGGATTCTACAAATAATTTTTTAATTTAAAACTAAACCTTTCAAATGGGATGCAAAAGACTTATACCAGCAGTATAATTTTGTTTGTTAAATGCCCCATATTCTGTCTAAGCAAGTCCATTCCATCATCCCACTATTTCTCTTGTCTTCCAAGCAAACTGTGAACGGCTATTAAAAATGGTGTGGAATTGTCAGCTCACAAACAAGGACTTGAAAAGACATTCCATTGCATCGTGTTCCCAAGCTGAATTTCAGCAAAGACATTGTAATCTTTTAAGGGAATTGAGCCGTTGATTGAATGGCAGAGAAAACGCGGCAGGGAGCCTCAGACCATTAATTCAGAAGAGGTGTCAGAATAACAGGTTGGATCTTAGGCAAATGAATCTCCAAGGGAAACAGCTGTTTTAGTACATCCATTTAATTGAGGAGATAACAGCAAATTCATCTATGCAAATTTATATAGATATAAATTCCTTTTATATGGTGTTACCCGTTTAAGATCCAGGGAGTTTGAAAAACCACATGTTCTGGAGAGGCTATGCATTTTCCCCCCCCCCTTTCGGGGAGACTTTTAAATTTGCACACGGTGGCAGTAAAATCTGTTTGTGTGAATGATCTGCCTTTGTTCTGTTGAGGAGAATGCTGACTTCATAGGAAGAGATGATACTAAAAACTATGTTGGCTGTCATGGAGAATCTAATACGATGCCTAACTTAAAGGAACTGTACTAAGTTTATGGAACAAAAACATATCCATGCAAAATACCAACTTGTATTTTTGTAGAAATATTTCACAATGCTTTATAGCAGAGATCCCCAATCTTTTGGGCATTTTGTCTACCTATCGAGTCCTTACCCAGGACCTGGGATAGGCAGATGTGGATGTTTGATGGTATTACAGGTATCATCACAGGATTGAAGCAGTTTCTAGTAAGGCCGCCTTTTGCAATTGACTAATAGCGAATTTGTCACTATTATTATTATTATTATTATTATTATTATTATTATTATTACTACTACTACTACTACTACTATAGTACCGAATGCAATATTCAATAGGAGATAAGTGTGAAAACCCAGGATTCGGTTTGTTTATGCACATTCTACCATACAGTTAGATGCTTTAAACGTGCCCCATAGCTCAACCCTCTTGAGATGTCCATCACACTCCAAATGATGGCTTTTATTTCTCAATATGTATATTTAGGATTGTAACTCAAGAAATTCATCCAACTCTCGTTACCAAGGGAGCATTTTCAGTCTTCCCCATCCTGGCACTCTCCAGATATCCTATAAACAGCAACAGATAGAATTCTCACCCAGGATGGCACTTCCAAACCTGTTCTAAAAAGAGATGTACTCTGGGGCCTTTCTCCACTTCTTTTTAGCTTTTTTTCCCCTGCAATATCTTTTCATGACGTTGTCCTGACCTGAATTAGAATTAAGCCACTCTTAGCTTTACCAGAGTTAAAGTCATGTTCTTCCCAACACACATGCGCATAACTTAATTGTTACAATGTTCAAGGGTAATAAATCCATTACTTTGAACAGAAGTTAGAAGATTGCAGTGACTTGAAACAAAGGCATTGGAATAGGAAGAGGGTTGGCAATGGCGATAGTTAATTGCAAGCTGGTGTAATGTTCTGTCAGCTCAAGGATGTACGGACAGCAGTCCAGCAGTGTTCATCACTGTGACTTGGTGCAGAGCCCTTGCTTCACCCTTGAGGGCTCCATCTGCAGCCTTTAATTGTAAGGAAGGAGAATCAGGGATGTGACCTTTCTCTGCCCAACATCTTGGATAACTGTTGCAAGTCCCAACAGAGAGTAGAGAATCAGATTTCTCTAATTCTGAATTGATATCTGCCTGTTAGTGCAGATGCTTCATAGCCAAAATTATTGTTGCACTCTTTTGACTGAAGCTTCATTCATTACTCATTGGTTGCAGTGATCTCGTGTGGGAACCCTGGGACACCCAGCAACTCAAGGGTATTATTCAATGACGGCCTGGTGTTCTCCAGCTCCATCATATACAAGTGTCGGGATGGCTATTATTCCACAGGTGTGCTCAGCAGGCATTGTACTGTCAATGGAACCTGGACTGGGAGTACCCCAGAATGCACAGGTGAGTTGGTCAAAGGAAGATGTTAGCAATGACACTCTACCTTCCATTTTCATGAAGCCCATCTACAGGCACAAAGTGGCAGTAGAGACACTTGAAGAATCTTTCTTAGAAATCTGGATTACAAATTCTAGTGGCGTGAAACTGGAAAAGGGATCCAGTTGGGCAAGTAGAAAAACTGTGCTAATGGTGTGGCATCAAAGAATTTGAGAATTATGGGTATATAACAGCCATTTCTTGCCCTAAAGTATTTAAGGACGGCAGATGAATTCCGCTGTGCATTTTCAGCAAGTTCCCATGGAGCTTCCAGTTGACAGCAGAATGATAAACTATCATCATTATCCTTATTTGATTCTTGTGGCCATATATGTTCCATGAAAAGGTTGTTGAGGCTTTTGACATATCCCATGATGTTAGCTTTCTGATAATTGTGTTCTAGTTCGCATTGCGATCATATGCTAAGTCAGCTGTGGAATTCTGGGAGTTGAAGTCCACATGCCTTAAAATTGTCAAGGTTGAGAAACACTGTGCTAAGTGCTCTTTCATGACCACCAGACATTATTGAATGTATCCCTGGATCATCTGCATTCAACTATTACATTAATTTCATAGTGGGATATCTCCACCATGTAGACTTTCTCTCCCTGAAAAAATATTTCTGTTCTATTCTATGCAGAATAGTTGAATAGGAGCAGGATTAATGTGCAGCTTTGCTTAATACTTTTCTTGGTTTCAGTAACATTGGATAAGATGGCCCTGGTGGCTACAACTTTCTTTGAGTAATATGCCTTTTTGCAGCATAGATATTAGATAAAGTCAACGCTGGTTGGTCAAGGAAGCTTATAACTTCTCGCATAATTTAGCTTAGGAGATAGCATCAAATGCTGCTTTGAAATCTCTAAAAGCAACGTAAGGAGAGGTTGTGTTGCAGGAGAAGTATTTGTCTAATGTGGTGCTCAAATGGAAGGCACTGATCAATAGTGGATCAACTAGCCTGCCCTTTCGTCAGCAAGTTTTCTTGTTCTAGCTAGTCCTGAAATTTCCATTGTAGATGTTCTGCATCGAGCTTGCTGACTGTGTTAAGAGGGCTAATAGGTCTATAATTAACAAGATAATCTATTTTTCTATTTTTAACCAGAATTGAATTTTTGCACGGAGGAGATGATAACCACTCACAGATCAGAATTATGAGGGAATTTCTGTGTTTTTAAACTCCTGTAAATCACAGTAGAAATCACAAAGCCCTTCCCCTAATTTTGCAGGTAGCAAATAGACTTGCAATATTTCCATTTGGAAAGGGACCTGATACAGACCTAGCCATCACACTGTTTAGGAATAAGATGGCTAATTACTTCCTGCTGTCATTAAGCTTCACCATGGGAGAATAATGTCTTGAACTGGAGGGCTGTTGTAAGAATTTCCTTTCAAAACAATACTGTTGTTTTGTTCACCAGCAACTATTTCTGCAAACTTGCCTTTGAGATCTGCAGCTGATCTTCCTTTTCTCTTTTTCCAAGTGATAAACTGTGGGGACCCTGGCGTGCCAGCCAACGGCATCCGGATGGGCAATGACTTCACCTATAATAAGACTGTCACATTTCAGTGCATGCCAGGTTACATGATGGAATCAGAAAGAGCTTCTACATTAACTTGCACTAAGGACCGCACCTGGAATGGGACAAAACCTGTCTGCAAAGGTAAGGCCAATTTAATCATTCATTAGAGCACATGTGGGATTTCTCTTTGGTGACTTGAAGAAGTGTGGCTGGGGAATTCTGGGAGTTGAAATCCAAAGGTCATAAAGGAACCATAGTTGCCCATCCCTGGTCTAGAGGAATTTTTCCCAGCCAAGTAGTCTCCAGATATAAGGATAAGGATAAGGAGGATGATAAGGAGGATGATAAGGATAAGGAGGATGATAAGCATGAGGATGATGAGGATAAGGATGAGGATAAGGATGATAAGGATGAAGATAAGGATGATAATGATGGTAAGGATGATGATAAGGATCAGGATAAGGATCAGGATAAGCCACAAAAGCCAGATGGAGATTTTTTTTTTTTCCCTCACTCCCTCACTTCTTCACTTGGTTTAAGGAGAAAGTCTTAGAAAGCACAGCTTGGAAGCAGGATATGCATACCTGCACTAGGTGAGCAAGCAAAGGAGGATTGTGTATGTGTATTCTGTCTTTCATTGTTGTGTAATTGCTCCAGTACAGTTTTCCATGCTTCTGTCCAAGATCTCAAAAGAATGCATTATATTACTGCTGGAAGTGTGGGAGAATTTTTGTTTTTAAGAAATTGTAGAAACTTTTCTTCCCCTTGAAAAATCTGGTAAAAACTGCCCACCAATTTCTTTAGCCACAAGGTTTTTTTTTAAAAGAATCCTAAATGCCCAATTCTGTTGATGCTCACATTATCAGTAGTGCGATTCAAATATGTGAACAACCGGTTCTCTGTGTGGATGCCTTTTCCAGAAGTCCATTCTGGGCCTGGGCAACAACAAATTAGCTACCGGTTCTGCTGAACTGGTGCGAACTGGCTGAATCCCACCACTGCACATTATTCTGAATCCATGTGGTCAATGGAAAGGCCAGAAAGGATTGATTTCAAGAATAATCTGAGACTTTCTGAAGAAATTTGGATTAGAGATGGATTCAGAAGCCATATATATTCAGAAGCCATGTTCAGTCTTGGTTTCACATGAAAGCACATGGCTTCTAAAGAGTCTATAAGATCACCCTGTCTAGTGATGTGCATAGTTTTAATGTCCTTCATGCCAGTATTTCTGATTGGCTGTACAAGCATGTTTAAAATTTCCTCTACTTTATGCCTGGGTGGTACAGATGGCCAATTTGCTATACAGTTATTTGCATGCTGTGCCCTTATTTAATTATCATCTGTATTTCGGCAACATTTATTTATGTCTTTCCCCAAATAAGAACAGGGCAACATCTGTGAATTCTAGCCCTTTGAAGAAGGAGATTTGCAGCAATGACAACAAGATCCTACAACATGTAGAGATCACATGCACGTGATAATGATAGAAACCCTGGAACATGAATGCTAACCTTCTGGGTCTTTTGTTGAGTTCAGTGTGACTTTTTCTCCCTAGCTATCATCTGCAAATCTCCACAAATTGTTCCCAATGGAAGAGTCATGGGCTCAGATTTCAGTTGGGGCTCAAGTGTCAGTTACACCTGTCTGGAAGGCTACCAGCTCTCCTTAGCTGCTGTTTTGACCTGCGAAGGAAATGGATCGTGGAGTGGAGAAATCCCACAGTGTTTCCGTAAGTAGACAGATCCAGCTGGACGAAGCATGAAGTCAGAAGTGGAGTAGCTGTGGCTTGTTTTGTTATAAAGACATATCCCTCACAAACTCTTGTTTATCTGACTGGTCAAAAGCCAGGATTCGGACTTTAGAGGGAACCCATCCAAAAAGCTGCTCTGCCATTATAGCTAGAGACTAGTTTTAAAAAGAACAACAAAGAAACGGGGGACGGGGGACATCATGCTGCTTGTCTGAATGCTGCTTGAACCAGAAGAATCATAAGAAGGATTATCTGCTCCCTGAGGGCCAGGGGAAAACACTTGGAAGAAAAGTTTCCTGGTTTATTTATTCCATTTTTACCCAATCCTCTCATAGGATCAGAATTTCAGTTGCACAAGTTAAACTAAAATGCTTTCCCTACTCCCGCATCTCTTAAAGGCCTCCAGTTGCAAGCTTTAACTAAAACACTTAGTAATAGTAATAGTAGTAAAGTTGGAAGGGACCTTGGAGGTCATCTAGTCCAACCCTCTGCTCAGGCAGGAAACCCTACACCATTTCGGACAAATGGCTGTCCAATCTTTTCTTAAAAACTTCCAGTGTTGGAGCATTTACTGCTTCTGGAGGAAGGCTGTTCCACTGATCAATTGTTCTCACTGTCAGGAAGTTTCTCCTTAGTTCTAGGTTGCTTCTCTCCTTGATTAGTTTCCACCCGTTGCTTCTTGTCCTGCCTTCAGGTGCTTTGGAAAAACTTCCAAAGTCCTTCTCTATATCCCACTCTCTTCTTGAACCAGGCAAAAAGGCTGGAAGATAGATTGAGCCCGTTTTCAAACTCAGCGTAAGAGCTAAGTTCTGCTGGAAAATTTGGCCTTCAGCATCCAAGAAGTATTGGAAGGTGCTATCAAAACTCTTTGGAGGAGAAGTTCAAAAACCAATGGTGTGCAATTAAAAGAAAGTGCTCAGTTCAGAATTTTATTGGAAGGGAAGCTAGCCTGCAATTGTGTGGAATTTGGGGGGCAGTGCTGGTGTGCTAAGATGCTTTTTTCCCCCCACCAAGACATTTGGCAGAACATGGGTTTTTGTCTTGCATTTCTTGTTCCACCTGCTGCAGAAGAAACAGACTTTCCTGTGCGATACACGGCCACATGGTGCTTTGCCTTTACACAGCGGGAGATCTGTTTTTGAATTCAAGCAAAAGCAAGCAAGAAAATTGAAGCTAGCCTTCGGTTCCCCCTCAGCCAGTCTGCCAGGAGAGAGTAGGAATATGGAAATAGATTAAACATTCACTGGCCATGAGACACGGCATGCAGAAAGAAGCTGGCCACTCTTTTCTGCTAGCCAAGTTACAAATGTCCTCTAAACGTAGCACATGTAGGTACCAGAGTGCCATGGACACTTTTCTAGGTGCCAGTCAGGGTCCATTTTTTTACTTTTCTAACTTTTATTATTCTAATTTTAAACAAGATTTAAGTGTGAACTCCAGCCTCAGTCTTTATTTTCAAACTGACCTTGGGTTCTGTCAACTGTCTGGCTAGCGAATTCAACATTGAGCGATCTTTACAACTTTGAAATGCCATAAAAGAGAAATTTTATTGAATACACATCTCGGTACTGAAGAAGCAAAATGAACTCTAGTTTTTCCATGCAAAAATCTGGTTAGTTGACAATAGCTTTTGGTAACCTCCACCTCCCCTCAAGTGCCCATGTTGCCCAATCACATCTCTTTGTTTCTTATGGGAATGGTTCTCTGTCAAACACTTCTTTTTGTGACCTTGGGTCTCATGGTCCATAGACGGCTTCTTGAAACTTCTATTTCTTTCCCAGACTCTCCCTCCCCACTGTTTCTATGACAAGTTGAGTAGCGACAGAGGTTAGCAAGCAGCTTAGCAATTCAACCTTGATATATTATGTGTAAACATCACAGGTATTTTTAGAAGCTCACAACAATGGTTGACTTTAGCTCTTGATTTTCTTTATGGATCTATCCACTGAGCTGAGAAAAAAGACAAACGCAAACTGAGATATAAACGTATCAGTTTGCATTCCAAAACACTGGAATTTTTTGATTAACCACCCCCATTGTGACAGTTCATGGTTATCATTTTCCTTGTAAAGAGGAAACATTCCCCATGGTTCAGTTTATTAGTGGAGACCCCACAATCTGCTTCAGCTACGCTTATCAGAACAGGACTGGGGACAGACCACTAGGTTCTGCCCACTGAAGAAGGATACAAACAACCTTTTTATAGTGGTATAATAAATGCTGACCCAGTAATTTTCTGCTTTTGGTGAAATAAGAGGAGGAATAAAATGGAGATTGGCACATTTTTGGACATTTTTTGTGGTTAGTTACGGTGCTTCCTGGTTCCCATTTGAAAATATCAGTGCGGATTTAAGATAAATTATGACCCAGAAGCTAGAAAAGCAAGCAATTTACGAAGTTTACTTGAGTTCAGGAGTCTTGATAGTTTAGAGGTCTTGGTTCAGGTCTTTGTTTTACTTCTTCTTCTGCACACCCAAAACATATTCAAAATGTTATATTTCCCTGCTGGGCCAAAAGAGTTAGGGATCTTGGCTCACTTGCTGCATGCACCAGACATAGGATGTTACAAGATGTTGGTGTCATTAGAGATTTTACCCCAATGAAATGTCTTTCACTGAAGTCCATTCTTTTTGCAGCTGTCTTTTGTGGCGATCCAGGAATCCCAGCCGACGGGCGGAGGGAAGATCGAGGTTTTACTTATCGCTCCTCTGTCTCATATTCCTGTCTGCCCCCGTTGGTGCTGGTGGGATCCGCTCGGAGGTTCTGCCAGGCTGATGGAGCGTGGAGTGGGACCCAGCCAAGCTGCATTGGTAACAAGATGGGGCTTTATTGGGGAACAAAATAAAACATGCCTCTGCCTTTTCTGGGCGGTGTTAAGGGAATGAGGAAGCTTTCCAACTTTTATATATTAATATTCCCAAAATACTAATCTGATCCAATCCCATTTAATTCCCCAGTCTTCGAATCACAACCACAATTGGCACAGGATTTTGGTTGCTTAATGAGGTTGTTCAATGAGTCGACCCGATTTTACAACCGTTTTGCCAAAGTTGTTAAGGGAATCATTGTGATCATTAAGAGAAGCATGTGGTCGTTAAGCCAACGTGGCTCCCTTCATTGACTTTGCTGCTAGGAAACCAGCTGGGAAGGTTGCCAATGGCGACCAGGTGACCCTGGGATACTGCAAATCATTGTAAGTTTCCCCAGTGCTCAAATTTTGTTTACATGACCGCGGGACTACTGCAACGGTCATAAGTGTGAGGACCGGTTGTAGGTTACCTTTTCCAATGCCTTTGTCACTTCAAATGACCACTAAACAAATGGCTGTAAGTCAGGGACTACCTGTAATTGCCTAACCAATTCCACTAAAAGCAGGAGACAGACGTTTGATACAAAATATGTTTGAAAGAAAAACTGTAGCACATAAAGTTGGGCCCAAAATTTAATTCCAGTTTTGGTTCTTTGGGGTTTTTTTTTTTTAGAATTTAGACCAGGGAAATTTGGATTTTAAAAAGCCTGCTTTGGGGGCATTTACAGATGAAAACAGGGTGAATTGCATTATTTTTTTTTAATTTATACTAGAATTACTGTGCAGCAATGAGAGAAAGGTGTGTATAAAGCTTTACAACGTACTTCACAATGCACTGCATAGTTAACCTTACCTTAACCTAACCTTACACACAAATCGCCCAGTCTGATGCTACCGCCTGTACAATACACTGCACTTTTACGTTTGGAACTTCTTTTAGTACTGTTTTCATTTGGTTTTGTTTTATTATATTTTTTCTTAATTACTTGTAGATCCCATTATGGATTCGGTTGCTTCAGATGAGCCAGTACAGTATAAATGATCCCAAAGTCAAGTCTCAGTTATGCTCACAGTTGGGATATGTAGTAGTCTGGGAGCCTTTGGATGGCTTCTTTCCTTCTGCCACGCTTTGTGTAAACTCGTCTCAAGGTCACGTCTGCTCAACCACTTGCTTTGCTTCAGGTCCCTTCTGAAGACGCATCCAGCAATTTCCTTGAACCAGAAGATGTTGCATGCAGGGCTGAAGTCTTTACTTTTGGGCCATGAAGTGGTCTCAATGAGGCAGAGCAGAGCAGAGTTCTCACCCCCCCCCCAAAAAAAAAAATTAATTAAGCACTTACTTCTTTTTTTCAGATGCAAGTGTTACAACCTGCATGGATCCAGGTGTGCCCCCTTTTGGAATTCAAAACAATTCCCAAGGTTATCAGGTAATATATGATCGTCTCCCCCCTCCCTTTATTTTCTCCTTCACCCTGAACAATCTTCTTTATCTGTATAATATAGCCAAAATTGCTAAATTGTCATCCTTCATCCAGGAGCTGAATATATTCATTCTCCTTTTATGCAAAACACAGGCAGTGATGATCTCTCTTTGGAGAGTTGCTATCTCTTGATTAAGCTGTTTTGTGAGGGAGACAATAAGAGGATTTTGCCGGAGAGATCTCTGATTAATTCAGAGGTGGTCCTTGATGATACTTGTGCTTCTAATGGAGACAGAATCAAACAGACGTCTAGCCTGTATCTTGCCTCCCGTAGTAAATAACAAGGCATCTCAAGTGGAGGATGTCTATCCAGGGAGTCCTAGACTTACAACTGCCATTGAACCCACAATTTCAGTCGTAAGTCAGGGTGGTCATCAGACCCAATTTTGTGACCTTTTATGTGGCAGTCATTAAGTGCTTGCATAAAGTGAATGCCAGGGTCATTAAATGAATACCACATTCATTAAGTGAACCCATTGTTTTCTATAGGAAAGTTGTCGCCAGAAACCAGAAGGAAACACCCGTTTCCTGCAAAAGCATCATAAATTGCAGTCATGAGACTGGGATGCTGCACATGGCCACCAATTTGGGCTGATTGCTGAGCAACAAAATGTCATGTGACCAAGGGCCCAGATATCAGAATTGACACAGGTGGCCTCTTGGACCCTTCTTTCAAACCAGCGGTCCTCTCTGTCCAAAAAGTGGACTTTGCTGTCTTCGAAAGAGTGGCCTTTGTCTTTTAAATGCAGATGGACTCCCGAATCTTGTCCTGATGGGTTTGTTCTCCTATGTTGTGCCGTGCGTTTGTGAAGGGGTTGTTTTGTTCCCCCATTGTACAGATCTGCCAATGTCTCACTGCATTGTATTGCATTTACCACATTGCTCAGTTTACGTCTGGGTGTTCTATCCTTGGGGTGGACAAGCTTCTGCCTCAGTGTATTGTTGGGTATAAAGTGTACGCATATGTTGTGTTGGCTGAAGACTCTCATGTGAGACATGTGCAGATCTGTACATTGGCGAAACAAAACAACCACTTCATCTGCATTTAAAAGACAAAGGCCACTCGTTTGAAGACAGCAAAGTCCACATTTTGGATAAAGAGGGATCAAAAGGGGTCAAAGAGGCCATCTGTATCAAAACTGAACAGCCCTCTCTCAACAGGGAGGAGGGATGCAACGTCATCTAGCTCCAGCCTACAACACAGTCCTTTTAGCAGTTCCAAGAAGGCTCCACACACATTTGCACTACTCAGTGACTCTGAAGACACAGACAAACTTCCAAATGGCCTCAGTGACTAAAATAATACAAATAATCAGCTGTCTACAGCCAGTTTTCACCAGTTTGGCAGAACCGGTAGCTATTTTTTTGTTGCCCAACCCCAGAATGGACTTCCGGAAGCGGCATCCACACAGAGAACCGGTTGTTCACGTATTTGAATCCCGCCACAGCTGCAAGGAATATAAATGTTTCTCATCCTTCTTGGATGAGAAGTGAAATGTCTTTTAAAAAAAACAATAAAGTCCAGTTGCCTCTTTTTTTTATTAAAAAGTTTTTATTTTCCATTTATTCATACAAAATACAATTAAATTCCTAACCATTGGTACCACCTGCCCATTCCCCCCAGGCTGCGTCCACCCTCCTAACCTTCCCCACATCCCTCCTCTTTCTCTCCTCCCCTCCTATTCTCTTCCCCTCCCCTTCTCCTCTAACCATCCTACTTCCTCCCTACTCCTTCCTCTCCTCTCATCCATCTCACATACATGAACGCAGCATAAGGAAAATGCCCAAGCGTTTACCATGACTATATTATCATTACCCACCCACTCACCCACCCACTCACCCTCAACCCTCCCCCCCCTCGCTTCCCAGAGCAGAGTACAGGGTTATTATTAAGAAAGTTAACAATAATAAGAAAAGAAAAGAAAAGAAAAAAGAAAAAAAGAAAAAAGAAAAAAAAGAGAAAAAAAACATCATACTTAACCTTTAACTCCCCTTAAATTAAGTCATATAAATAAATCTCTACAACAGTTACTATAAAATTTACTCATAAAATAAATGAAACTTTATAGTCCCATATTTTTTCTGAAAATAATCTATCCATCTTCTCCATACAATAATATATCTTTCTTGTGTATGATCCTTCAAATAAGCAGAAATTTTTGCCATTTCTGCAAAGTTAGAAACTTTAAATATCCATTATTCTAAAGTAGGCAACGAGTCCTTCTTCCAATAGGAGCCTACTAATAACCTTGCTGCAGTTAATAAATTCAACATTAAAGTAGTTTTTTGTCATTTAAATCCACAAAAATACAATCATGACCTGGATTATTGAGACTCTCCATAAGACATCCCACAGGGCAACACTTTGTTACATATTCCACTAGTTTTTGTGGTTTTTGTCAATCACAAACTTACCTTTCAAGTCTGAGTCACTCAAGAGCTGAAGGAGCTTCATCACACTTGCCATAAAGCAAGTTCAGATCTGGCTTGGTCACTTTTTCAAGGGCACGTCTGAAAGGTAACGTGTGAGGTTCCACAGGCTCCATCTTTAATTAGATAAGTTGCTTTAACTAGATGAGTGATTATACTCACACAACATTCTAACTTTGCATGGTTTCCCATTGCAATAGGTTGGAAGTGTCATCTTCTTCAAGTGTCATAAAGGATATTTGCTGCAAGGGTCCACCACCAGAACTTGCCTTCCAAATCTGACATGGAGTGGAATTCAGCCCAACTGCATCCGTAAGTCTTAGCTTCCTTGGTGCTGGCAAAACAGTTGATGCCGCTTGAAGATGGGTGGACTTCATCTCCCAGGATCCCCCAGCTGGCATGGCAACTGGGATATTCTGCAAGTTGTAGGCCATACATTTTCAAGCGGCTGAGGTTGAGCACTGCTCTGTGCTAAAATCCAGGTGTGCAATATATGCCCAGTGCCAGATCTTAATTTTTGCGGCCTGGATAGATAATGTGGAAATGAGAAAATGCAAACCAGCCTGCACAGACAAATTCCAGAAAGCAGGCATTCAGAAAATGCCTCCTTCTGAATCAGGCCAGCTCTTGGCTATAGACAGGCTTCGATCTTCACCCAACCAGCAGCCTTTCCCAACCTGGCGCTCTTCAGGTGAAATACCTGACATTTCCAAATAACACCAGCAATCTGCTGGGAATTCTGCGGGATGTAGTCCAAACAGATCTGGAGGATACCAGGCTTGGAAAGCTATCTTCTGCCCTTTCTCAGGCCTGGTAATGGTGGGTGCATGAGGTGCTTTCTTCTATGTCTTTACAGCACACAACTGCAAAGAACCAGATACCCCAGCCCATGCCAACGTGGGCGCTCTGGACCTGCCTTCGCTGGGATACACCTTGATCTATTCATGCCAGAATGGCTTTTATCTCACCGGAGGATCAGAGCATCGGACTTGTAAGGCTGATGGTAGCTGGACAGGGAAGCCTCCCGTTTGCCTGGGTAAGCAAAAGACAGCTCTATGTCTAGTAAACTTCTTATTCTTTTCACTTGAAATCCATCGGCTGCATTTCAGCTATGGGTTTCGTGGACAAATCACTCTGTTTCTGTTCTATCCCAGCCTATTGCCGTCCTTGTTAAAGGCACAAGGACCAAACCCCTGCTGATGCAATAGGCTGGAGACTTTACAATAAAACAAAACTCTTTTAATAAGGTTGACAAACCTGTCAAATAGTTCAAAACACAAACAGCAAAACTCAAGTCCAAAGGAAACACAATGCAAACAGACGAGAAGTCACAAGCAAGACGAACAGAGAAGTCACAAGCAAGATGAACAGACCAGGATTCCAAGAAGCACTTTGCAAACAGTTGCCTTCAGCAACCAGCACCGCCCACACCTCCTCCCTTTATTGAGCAGTCCCAAGGCGTTGCCTCTCATTGCCTTTTCTTTTTACTCTGGAGGTGCCTCATTGACTGCTGTTGATTTACTCTCGCTAATTGACGACGTGTGCGGGCGTCAATTAGCAAGTCCATGAGGTGTGGGTCTTCCAGGTCTGACTCATGCTCCTCATACAGCTGAGCTTCATCAGGAACACATCAAGCCGTGAGTCCTGTAATTCATCAGAGCCTCCCTCTGCCCCTGATGGCCCTTCAAAGGCCTCCTCCACCTCCTCCTCAGATTCCTCAGACTCAGCTGTTGGGAGCACAGGCTGGCACGGAATCACAACAGTTTCTGCCCCTGTTCCCCAGACAAAGGGGATTAAAAACTGCCTTGTTAGATCAGACCCCAGAGCCCATTTGGCTCGCCATTTTTCCTCCAGTGGGAGCCAGAACATCAAGACAAGAGTTCTCCATGATTCTTAACCTAAGTCTTCCTCTGTGAATGTTAAGCCTTTACATCACGTTGCCACTAGCATACCTTACAGCTTAAGTAAACAAAGGTATTCTTTTTTTTCCCCACATTATGAAATCTAAAATTTTTGAATTTCACCAGTTCAAATATTGAAAAGAAAAAGTGAGGAGTTTCCTCTTCTCTTTTCTCTCACATCATTCATAATTATAGACACTGTAGGAAGAGAGTCTTTTTGGCCTATAGCAGGGGTAGTCAATCTTGGCTCTTTTATGACTCGTGGACTTCAACTCCCAGAATTCCTGAGCTAGCTAAGTTGGCTCAGGAATTCTGGGAGTTGAAGTCCACGAGTCATAAAAGAGCCAAAGTTGACTACCCCTGGTCTATAGAAGCAAACAAATCAGTCCAGTAACGTTTTTTTCTGACGAACATGCTTAACTATGTTGAATTAAAATTATTAAATATTAGCAAGTTTGATCTAGTGGTAAAGGCATCATGACAGAAATCAGGAGACTCCGAGTTCTAGTCTCACTTAAGGCACAAAAGATGGCCAGGCTTCATATATATTCAACCTAGGCGCTGGAAGGTATGCTCACTGCCTTGAGTTATTTATAAAAATAACAAAGGGTTAAGAAATAATTTAAAATGGGGGCAGTTCCAAAGGTAGTGGTTGCATCCACACAATATTCTAGCTTGATTAGCTTATTTTTCAAAAATGAAGTCATTCAATTAATTCATAGTTCCATGTATTCTTCCAGAAAGTGGGTTAACTCAGAACCAAGTTGAAGAGAGTAAGTGATCGTTGTGGCCAGATATTTTATATTCACCTGTTATTAAAGATGTTTATGTCACCTTATTAAGGTATAAACTCTTACTTTGATCCTACTTTTAAGCGGATGTCCGACCCAGCAGACGGCCTACGGGGGCTGCGAAGGACCAGCATCTTCCAAAAGGTACCTCTTTTTCCTAACTACCAAATACATAAAAAATACATTAAACATGAAACAGCATAGCAAATTACTGGGGTTTCAAGGTCTGTAAATATATGAACACACTGTCAATTTTATTGAATGATTAAAAACTCAAACCATTCATTACTTTTAATGGATTTTTATTTTTTTTAATGGATGAGACTCTTAATTAATGGCATTTCTTTTGATTGTTTTGAAGTAACAAAGCTTGATTGTAAAAAGCATTGAACAAATAAGAATTCTGAGGGATTCTGGGAGTTGAAGTCCACTCATCTTAAAATTACTACGGTGGAGAAACACTGTTCTAAACCACAGTGGGTGTCAACGCTGCTAACATTGGAGGTTCTTGCTTTGACAACATATGAAGATGCAGCCTTTTTCTTTCTTATGCTTTATTCTTAGAATCAGATGATACTGGGGGAGGAGGAGGAATGTGGTGGCAGTTAGTTAGACATAACAATATTGTACTAGTGTGTGAATTCAGGACTTTTGAAATAAGAGATGATAAGAATTGGCAGTAGCAGAACAGGAGGGAAAGCCTGCATTTCAAACTAATTGGAGAATGTGATTTAAGATTGTTAATTGGAGGAGGGAATTGTGCTGTGATACTATATGCTCAGGGGAGGGGAATCCAGTTTTTGGCTTCGACCATGTACGTGCCGATGCCATGCAACTTGAATAAAGATTCTATAAGGTAAACAATGCCTCGAAGTTCTTTGAAGAGTTTCATCTGTCGGAACCATGACTTCTGCACTTGTTCCAAAATCTCCTCGTCTTGCTCTGCTTTGGGTTATTTCTAGTTCCCGCTGATGTCTTTGCCAAAAATTCCTTCTGGAAAGGCTCCTATGAATACATGGGCAAAAAGCAGCCAGCCATGCTTTCTGTCACCAGCTTTGATCCAGTCACCAGTAAAGTCAATGCCACTCTGATGGACCACAGTGGTGTGGAGCTGCAAGTCTCTGGTAAGGCAGCCAATTGGGGTTTTTTTGCATTCCTAGTGGGAGAAGGGGAGATGGTGCCACCTTGACGTCCACCCCATTAAACATAGAAGGGAAAATAATATCCATCCAGCCTTATCTGCACAACATAATAATACTGCCAATATAATTTATTTAGTTACTTTGTTATCTTCACCCACGTCTGCCTGGACAATCAAGCTGAAACACCTGTCTAATGTGCAAAGGAAATAAATAATTAAAGGCCCTGAGGATACTTCCTAGATAATAATTCTCCAGCTGAAATTCTGGGGCTGCCTTCATACTAAGGTTAACACAAACTAAGGTTAACATACTACCATAACCAAACAAATAAGCTATGGTATAGTTTACTGTGATGGGTTATGTATACCAGAAACTACGATGGGTTTTATATAGCACAAACAATGACTCACACTTGAGTTTTCACAATATTACCAAACCCGATTGATACAGAAAGGATATGGAGACCTGGAAAGTATGTCGAGAAGAGCAACAAAGATGATAAAGCGTCTGGAGGCTAAATTGTATGATGAATGATTAAGGGAGTCAGGTGTGTCTAGCCTACCAAAGAGAAGGGTTAGGGGGGACATGAGGGGCCATCACAAAGAAGAAGGGGTTGACTTATTCTCTAGGGCCCCAGAGGGCAGGACACAAAGTAAGGGGTGGAAGCTTGTCAAAGAGAGATACAACCTAGAAGTAAGGAGAAATTTCCTGACAGCGAGAACAATTAATCAATGGAATAGCTTGCCTCCTGGGGTTGTGGACACTCCATCACTGGAGATTTTCAAAAATAAAGTGGACAACCATTTGACTGGGATGGTATAAGACTTCTTCTTGAGTAGGGGGGGTTCCAGCCCTATGATTCTAATTTTATCCTAGACTGGCTTTCACAATTCCTCTCTGAATGGATAGAATCTTTATATCTTGGGCCTCAACCACATTATTTTTTTTTAATCTGCAATTTTAACCATATTCCCAACTGGAAACAACCCTTTGAAGGCCTTTGATATCTTCCCTGCATTTTCATTCTGCTGAATAATTTAATGCTACCTGCAGGCTTTGGAAGCAACTAAATGCATGTAATACAGATGAGCTTCCAATATAATTTTACCAAAGTTGGATGCAGTCCTGCTCTAACTTCGCAGAGCATCCAAGCACACTGAGATCTTGTCTTCTCAAACTGCAGTGAAACTCTTCCGCCCCCTCAATTCTCCAGAGCTTCCTTCTCCTTGACGAAAGGACTGCCTTATCTTCTCTCTCCAGGTATTTACAAAAGAGAAGATGTCCATCTTCTCCTCCAGGTACACCAAATTACAGGACCACTGGAGATCTTCACAAACAAATTCAAGAATGATAAGTGGGCATTGGATGGACACGTAAGTCTTTGCGTGAAACGTTTCAATGATACGCAGAGGAATTGGGAACATAACATGGGAGAATGTGGGAGCTTTTGCAATGATGGTTAGACAATACATATTTAAATGCCTAACGGTAAAATTACAATTGCAAACAAAATTTTAAATATTTTAAAAAATGTTTAAAAACCAGGAAACAGATTGAAAAATGCATTATATGAAACAGAGCAATTTTTTTTTTCCCCAAGATGGTCCTTTCAGGTTACTTTCTTCAGTTCTTTATTGGTTACATGTGGATTTGACCAGACTTTTTGCCTCTGAGCCTTTCAAAGGAAGGAATTGTGATGGAAAGAGCTGGAGGGAGCTGATGTGTAAAAACAAATGTTGTCTCTTTAGCAGATTAGAGGAGACAGAAAGTATGGTGGAGTGGTTAAGGTGTTGGACTGGCACCAGGGACATATCTGCTACTCACACAGATATATCTACTGACCCAGCATCCAGGAACACCCCTCTAGATTTTTACATTTAACAGGCTAAAGTCAAAATCAACCCCAGCCTTCAAGCATGTTTCAATCAGAATTGACCCAAGAAAGTCAGTAGATGTTTCAGACAAACACCGCAGGAATTCCTCCTGGAAGATTAATCCCAGGAAACCCCCCGGGGTAGAAGCAGCTCTACCAAAGTTATCCCCACAAAACTATTCTTGCTACAGCATGGGTATCAAACTCACCACATCACATGACGTGGCATGACGTATCGCAACTTTTTTCACATTGCCGGAGCTGGGGTGGGCACGGCTTCCGCATGATGCAACTGGCCCGCGGGCGGCAGTTTGACACCCCTTTGGTACAGGTAGTCCTCAACTTACAACCACGGTTGGGACCAGAATTTCCATGGCTAAGCAAGGTAGTTGTTAAATGAGACAGGCTCACTTTCATGACCTTTTCTGTGTCAGCTGTTAAGTGAATCACTCAGCCTTTAGGAGAATCTGGCATCCCCCCATTGACTTGGCTTGTCGGAAGCTGGCTGGAAAGGTTGCAATATGGTGATCACATATTGCAAGACACCGCAGTTGGCTTGCCAGCTGCCAAGTGCCCAAATTTCGACCATGTGACCATGAAGATGCTACAGTGGTCATAAGTGCGAGGATTGGTTGTCAGCTGCTCTTTTCAGTGCTGTTGTAACTTGAAGCAGGCACTAAGCGGTTATAAATTGAGGCCTACCTGAAATTGGTTTCCAAGATCCCCTATGTAGCTAGTCCTGTCACATTTTCCATTTCTTCTTAGAATGATTGAATCACAACATTTGAACCATATTATGAACAAGTACCGTATTTTCCGGCATATAGGATGACTCGGTGTATAAGACGACCCCCGTCTTTGGCGCCGATTTGCATACCTAGAAAGTCGTCTTATACGCCGGTAACTACCGTAATTTCTGGCGTATAAGACGACTCGGCGTATAAGACGACCCCCGACTTTGGTGCTGATTTGCATGCTTTAGAAAGTCGTCTTATACGCCGGAAAATACGATATTAGCATGAAGTCTGTGGTGATTCTCAGTCATCCAGGTTGTCTCAAAGGTGCTATTTCAGGAGGCAACAGGACTTTCTGGTTTTTCTTTGAAGATGTTTCACTTCTCATCCAAGAAGCTTCTTCAGCTCTGACCGGATGGTGGAGAAATCACCTGTACCTATAACTGATTAGTTTTGTTTTGTTTTGTTTTGCATTTGGGTTTTGCAGTATTTTTTTCATTTTCCACTCCAAATGCAGGTCACTCCAGAAGCTTCAAGCGGGACCTTTGTCTACCAAGGGTTTGTCCATGGCAAAGGTTTTGGACAATTTGGTCTCCAAAGACTAGGTAAGCTGACTAACTTTACAACTGAAGTTGTCCCCAAACAATAATTTTTAGTAATTTATATAAGCAATGTGGCAACTGTAAGATTTTCCATTTACGTTTTAGCATGTATCAGCTATTGTATGTAATTATTTTTCATTCAATTATTTTTTTTAACCTTTTCAGTTTCAATGTTTGTTATCAGGTGAAACTGATGCTTCAACTTGTATTTAAATAAATTCCAAGTTATCATTTCCGGAATTTTGCCAAATTCTATCCGTTCACCATCCCCGTTCAACTGTTAATATAATCATTTTGTCAATGTTATTCACACATATGTAAAGTGGTTCTAAACTATTCATTGTATGCATAACGTTAAGAGTCAACACATTTTCTTCCTTGTTTGGGGGGTCTTGAGTTACAAATCAAATAAAAGGAACATTTGTCTATTCGTTTTGGGAAAAAACCATAGAAGGCCATTCAAAAGCTAAACTCTAAGTTTACATTTTGTTTTGTCTCATAAAAAAAACAAAATCTTTCTCCTTGAAGAATGAGAGAGTGGCTGTGACTTAATGGATACGTCTATCAGCATTTTATCCAGCCTACCGGCTCTCAAGTTTTAATTCAACTACTATTCTCATTAACCCCATCAAACATCCAGGAATTAAATCTGAGATTTAAGTATTTTGTTATACTTATATGCAACAGACTTGTGTTGAGACAGTCCCTGGCCTCCCCTAGCCAATGGTACTCAGGAGCAGTAATTTAATGGTGTTCCTTTTTCCAGATAGCAGCATCATTGAACGGGATCCTGAATCAACAGGATATCCATTTGCATCCAACAGCAGCTCAGTTGCAGCTGCGATCCTCGTGCCTTTCATTGCCCTGATGATTGCAGGGTTTGTGCTCTATCTCTACAAGCACAGGTGAGATGTTCCAGGTAGAAAAGGCAGGAAATAACCTCTTAGGGCCTCGTAACAAGAATTGTAAGGATATTTAGGGTTTTCTGGTCCAGTGTCCCCTGGATTAAACCACATTTCTCACAATCCCCATGCAGCATGGCTAGTTAGCCCTGTCAGGTAGACCAAGCTACCTATACCTAAAATAGCTATAGTAACAGAATCTTGCAAGTCTGAATGTGCTACCTGTCAGTGCTGCTAATACTGGATGTTCTTGCTTTGACAACATATGAAGATGCAGCCTTTTTCTTTCTTATACTTTACTCTCAGAATTAGATGATGCTGGGGGAAGAGGCGGAATGTGGTGGGAGTTAGTTAGACATAACAATATTGTACTAGTGTGTGAATTCAGGGCTTTTGAAATAAGAGATGATAAGAATTGGCGGGTTAGAGAACAGGAGGGAAAGCCTGCAATTCAAACTAATTGGAGAATGTGATTTATGACTGTTAATTGGAGGAGGGAATTGTGTTTTGATACTATGTGCTCAGGGGAGGGGAATCCTGTTTTTGGCTTCAACTATGTTAGTGCCGAAGCTATGCTACTCCCATAAAGATTCTTTAAGGTAAACAATGCTTCGAAGTTCTTTGAAAAGTTTCATCTGTCGGAACCATGACACTACCTTTCTTTCCACTTTTCTCTCTATGGGAATTGGAAGGATGGGAGACTTGGAATACTGCATCCAGTTTTGGTCACCATGATATGAAAAAGATGTTGAGACTCTAGAAAGAGTGCATAAGAAGAGCAACAAAGATGATTAGGGGACTGGGGCGGGGGGGGATAAAACATAGGAAGAACAGTTGCAGGAATTGGGTATGTCTAGTTTAAGGAAAAAAAGTCCTGGGAGGGTGACATGATAGCAGTGTTCCAATAAGGGGCTGCCACAAAGAAGAGAGGGTCAACCTATTTTCCAAGCCAGCAGAAGGCAGAACAAAAAGCAATGGATGGAAAGTAACCCAGGAGAGAACCAACGTAGAAATAAGGAGAAATTTCCTGACAGTTAGAACAAATTCATCAATGGAATGACTTCCCTCCCTAAGTTGTGGGTGTGGTGGAGGTTTTTAAGAAAAGATTGGACAATCATTTGTCTGAAATGATATAGGGTTTCCTGTCTGAGAAGTGGGTTGGAGTAGATCTCCAATTTTCCTTCCAATTCTGTTACTCTGTTATTCTGTCTTAGGCATTTCTGCAAATGCCCATGGTCAAGTTTAGTTGATCTGATTGTTGCCTTGATTGTGAACTTTCTTTCTGTCCTTCAAGGCCACCCTCTTTATTCACTACATTAGTACTGAAAGCTGCCATCTAATGCTATGGGAAATAGTATCCATTTCTTTCATAGTTTCTAGGAGCCAACCACCTTTGTACTTCTTGTCATGGTTCCGATAGATGAAACTCTTCAAAAGAACTTCAAGGCATTGTTTACCTTAAAGAATCTTTTATTTGAGACACAAAGTATCGGGCACTACATAGTTGAAACCAGAAACTAAATTCCCCTCCCCTGGATACAAAGTAATAAAGTGCAATTCCCTCCTCCAATTAACAGTCGTAAATCACATTCCCCAATTAGCTTGAAGCACGGGCTTTCTCCCCAGTTCTCCAGCCTGCCAAAACACTATCAGCTCTGGGCCCAATGACCTTGAGTTCCCACGGCTAAGTTATTATTGTTATGACTAGGTGGGCTCTCATCCCTATTCCCCCTCCCAGCAGCAACTAACTCTAAAAGCAATAGAGAAATGGCTGCATTTCCATCTGTTGTCAAAGCAAGAACATCCAATGTTAGCAGCATTGACACCTCTCCAGCTAGAAATTCTCTAGAACTAAGGAGTAATTTCTTAACAGTGGGAACAATTAATCAGTGGAACAGCTTCCCTGCAGATATTGTGGGTGCCCCAATGCTGGAGGCTTTTAAGAAGAGACTGGATATCTACTTGTCTGAAATGGCATAGGGTCTCCTGCTATGGGAACATGGGACATTGGACTAGAAGACCTCCAAGGTCCCTTCCAACTGTTAACTAGTAGATGAATATACTGTGTAGCAGAGCTAGGTTACTGCCACAGTTAAACTGCACTTTGGGGAGCTTCATTTCAATTAATTTGAACGAAAGAGAGAGAAGAGACAAACAGAATGTTTACAGATTTTAATGCATTTATGTACCTGTGCTGTAGAGCCCCTCCCCTGTGACATCTTTGTCCTCTCGAAACAGAAGGAGACCGAAGGTGCCGTTCAATGGCTATGCCGGCCATGAAAACACCAATGTCCGAGGAACATTTGAAAACCCAATGTATGACCGCAATTTGCAACCAACAGACATCATGGCCAACGAGGCAGAGTTTACCGTCAGCACTGTGTGCACTGCAGTATAGCACTTACAATTCTGTGTGCAGTAAGTATCACATTCCTATACAAACTTCCCACATATGCTTTTCAGCTACTACCGGGACCCATCAAATTATCATTAGCCTAGCATTTAATTTGAAAAGGGTTGGCTAATAATAATCACTATAATTCACATCTTAATAAGAGAAAATGACTGTCACTGCTGCAATGATCATTTCTGACCATAAGAAAGCTGAAACATTATTCAGATCCAAGCTTTGGAGATATTTTTTTTTAATTATCAGCAACATTTTGTAAGATAGGACAGCTTAAAGAATAATATACTGTACATCATCCATCAATCCACCCACATATCCACCTGTCCATCCATCCATCCATCCATCTCTCTTTATTCTCTGAAGTTTTTTATTTGGACATCTTCCAAGCTCAACTGTGAGATTTTTTTTGCATACTCAAAAAGTCCTTTCTTTTCCCAAATAGTCTAGGGAGCGTTTGGTTAGGAAATTTATCTTGCTGCAGAACACTTTTTGGTTCTTCCTAATTATGATCCATATACAAGTCGTGTATATGTTCCCACAACTTGCTTAAATTACTAAATTAACACATTATCTGTGAAGGCACTACACTAAGCCATAAATCAGCCAAATGATATTTTAAGGTACAAAAAACAAACCAAGGTTAAAAATAACCAGATTCATCATTCTGTGTCAATCAACGATTCAGTTTGTAACAACTTGCCAGGTTGAGTCAATGTTGACCTTGATTAGTTTCTTCAGAGCTTAGCACATTTTGCAGATCCTGCCTCTTTGATTAACTTATGGTTTAATATGTTCTACCAACCCAGAAAATGGCTTAAATCAATAACCACGTTAATGGTGATGCAGAATTGCACAGCCAGCATGTCTAGACAGTAACTGAAGAGTTTTATATTTCTTCGGGATATCCATCCATCCATCCATCCATCCATCCATCTTTTAAAAAATCAAAACACAACATCAGTTACATTTAAAGTAACTTAACAGAAACAGTGGTTCATTCAAGTGAAAGCTGCTTGTGATAGAAACCCATTTCTCCCTCCTCCTCCCCTCCCCCTCTCTCTGTGTGTGTATGTGTGTCCCTTCTCTTCTCTGTGCAGCCTTCTCCAGAGACGGGAATCTCACCAGTGCCCAGTGATCCTCCTGGCTCATCTTTGCCCATGATCTTCTCACCCAGAAACGTTGGGATTGTGGAGTTGTTATGGTGCCTTTGAGCTGATCCAGAGAGAGAGAAAGAGACTGCCTTGCTGTTTATCACTGCTCTGCATCTTCATTGCCCATCGTCCTGCCCTCCTGCAACTGATAATCAGATCTACCAAAGCATCCACCCCAGCCCTTGTGCCAAGAGCCCAAGATGTGGAAATCTTTCCTCTTCCCTCTACTCCAGAGATGCTCCTCCCCATCCTTGAGCCTTTTTCTATCAGTTCCTGGCCAACCTTTGGACTGGCTGACTGCTGCTCAAAGACCATTGATTGTCCCACTGTTTGCCTGTGGTCGATAAACACCTTTCTGGGGGACGCTTCATGGCAGTCTAAGAAAACCCACACACCCAGGCTGCCCAGAAGAAGCTACACAAGAGGAAGCAGGCACAGGCTGGTTGAGGAGACCTGTGGATGCAGAGAACTTGGGCTAAATGTATCCAGCATATCCAACTCATACAGCAAGTTTAGCATCTGGAGAAATGTTCCTCAGATATATGTTGGTTCTCCTCCTCTCCCTTCCCCACCCTTATATATTTATTTCATATTAATATTCTAGGGCAAGAATGTCATGTTTCTGACCATCCTTGCAAACCTCTGAGAAGGCCTCCATTCCTACCTTCCAATTTGCATTTTTTTTTTAGAGCATTTGCTTCTTAGGTTTTCTAAAACTGGCAACCCTTCCCGTCCCCAGTTCCAATGATTAGATCAACTCAGGACCACTTCTTTCAGACTAAATGGTCATCTTTGCTTAGTTGATTCAGAGAAAATACAGAACTTCCTAAGTGGTACAGTTCTTGGCATAAGAAATGGGACATCCCCATTATAGAATTGGGAGAATCCAATTATTGCTATCTCTGTCCCAGCTCATGCATTTCTCGGAGGTCTGATACAATTTGTCAGCCACTGATCTGCAATATGTTCTTTCAGGGGAGGGGGAAGTAGCATCCCAGCCTAGTGTTTTCATTGCTTTGTGCAATGCTCTTTGGACCTTAGCCTCATGAGGATCAGGGACACTTATTCTGTGTCTGTGACATCACAAATATCCGATGTGACTAATTTATTTTTCTGATTTATATATATTTCTATATTTCTAAGAAGTCAAGTGCCATCCTAGAAGGTTCATTCACTTGATGTTCTAGTTTTTGAAATAAAATGGCAGATAACTTTCCCTACTGCATTATCACATGCTTTCACTTACCTGTTCTGCTTCATCCTTGGCTCTATAAACCCACTGCAGGGCTAAACGGACAACTCACCTGTTAGAGAAAGACAAGTACAGACCTCATTCAGGTATCCCCATCTATTGTTATGAGGAACTTGCAATATTGTCCTGATTAATCTAGGCCTGACATCCAGAGATTTTTCTTGCCTAGTTCTCCTCATGAGACTGCCTTATACCAGTCTACTCATCTACTGCAGCATTATCTACAAGAAAGGAGCCGGGACTGCCTGTGGTCAACCAGCTGCAGGTAATTCATCATCAAGCATTGACCATCATTTCATGTTCTTCAAGATGCCAAGGATGGAGTCTAAGAATTTTTGCACACAAAGTAAAGTCTTATGACCTTTCCCTAATAGCCTGAAAGAAAGTCTCATCTCATGCTACCTAAAGGTTTTCAAATACAGTCAACAATGCTGCCAACCCTTGACTCTTGACTTCCATCGCATCCTGCTGCAAAGATGAGCACAATCTATGCCATGACATCATTGCCCCAAGTCCTTCACTGCTGCAGAGAAGGGGACAGCACAGCATAATGGGATCAAGAGCAGCATAAATTCAGACATTGCAAAGAACAGGGAGCCAGGCCTACACACCAGCAGTGGCCTCACGTCGCTCCTACCATCTAGTCGAGCTTTCAGTATCTAGAGAATATGAAGGACAGGTTTAAGGCTGACACTCATGTCCCAAAGTTGCTTTTTCCAAAAGGCAACTGGACTTTCTTATTTTTTTTTTCTTTGAACATTTTCTTTGAACATTTCATTTCTCAGCCAAGAATAGAAAAGAAGTGATTCAAAGAAAAAAACCAAGAAATTCTAATTGCCTTTTGGAAAAAGCATCTTTGGGACAACCATGTCCTGGATGATTGAAAACCTCCATAGACTGACACCCATGGTACAGCTGAAGTGCATCGGGAACACAGGAGGGGAATTCTTTCTTGCCCAACCCATTGAATATGTATCTGCAATTTTAAATATATCCCAGCCAGGTTAACTACAGCAATGAATAAAAGAGTCAAGATTAGGGCAGCCTGGAAGCTGCTTCTACCTGCTATAATTTTACCAAATAGTTATTCCCCATGGAAGTGGAGTGAGCATCCTGGCCCAAGGCACTTTCACAATGCTCCTCCATCATTTCCATATAAGAACGATGATCGCTCTGAGAGACTAGTTTGAAGGATGTTCCTACATCCTCTAGCTAGTTCACTCTGTGGCTGGGAAAACCAGCAACTTCCGTGAAGTGAGTGCGAGAAAAAGAATCCAGCATCATACAAGTTGTCGAGTTCAGGCTTCTCCAAACCCGTGTCCTCTAAATTGGTTGGGAATTACAAGCCAAACACTTGCACGATACAAATTAGGAAAGGTGGTTGAAGCTATTGTAACCCAAAAAGACCTGGAGAAAATGCATCCTAGAAACCCAGTGCTAAAATCATAGGATTTCATTTCACTTTTTGTTTCGTCTTTCTTACTTCTACCCAATATTCTTTTTTCTCTGTTCAACTGTTTATTCATTCATTCTCTCTCTCTCTCTCTCTCTCTCTCTCTCTCTCTCTCTCTCTCTCTCTCTCTCTCTCTCTCTGTGTGTGTGTGTGTGTGTGTGTGTGTGTGTGTGTCTGTGTGTGTGTGTGTGTGTGTGTAGAAAGATAAGGAATTGCCGATACCCAAAAAGAAAGAGGAATGATATTCTTTAGAATATCTTCCTGGAGAGTTTGAAGGCCAGCTTAATGCATATTTATTCTGTTGTTCTTCATTAATTGATCAGTTCTGTTCATATAAAAGGTGAGAGTAAGGAGGAGGCCCTCGTTTTCATGATTAACAAGGTTTAATATCTCCCTGTTAGGAAAAAGCTGGATTTTGCTTCTTGTCCTGCCTTACAATCTTGGAACATCTGTTCTTCCCAGCCTTTTCCAGCGGCAGGTCTGAGCTATCTTGTTGAATGAAGTGTCTTGCATAAAAGGTGGAAGATGTTAGGTTTCGTTGTCACCTTGTCTTCTTAGTCAAATGATTTGACAAAACCCGGGCATAATAACAAGTCATTACACACATGCATCAATAAAATGGAAAGGGCAAGTTCTTAGCTCAGAGATATCCTTGGTGCTTTCTGAGCTTGGCTGGTTTTTTGCAGATGTTTCATCACCCCAACTCAATCAGTTACCTACTTTGGGTATCAAAACATCTGCAAGAAAACAACCAAGCTCAGAGAGCACCAGGGATGTCTGAGCTACAAATAGTCTCCTCTATTGGCAATATGATATTAATAACTATCCACTTGACCTTAAAAATCCCATCTTGATCCTGCTACATTTTCTAGGCCTTCATAAACAAATTTGCAATGTTCACACTAAGGGTTTAGACCACTCTTCCGTGCAACTGGAGGGCACTAGACTGAGGATGAGACAGATGTAAATGGATGGATTTTCAACACAGCTACAGATGGAACTAGCGGGATTTTTTCTCCGGGGAATGCAAGAGCGTATATAATTTTTGATATTCCGAGAACAGCTTATCTCACCCAGCGTTCTGATTCAACAAGACAGGGAAAGCGTCCAAAGCTGGGCTTCAAATATTCTTTCCAACCATTTTACCAACAGCTGCCATAAGGAATGTGTCTCCATTTGTTTTGGTGCACTGAATTCATGTTCATGTCTCAGTCACGGGGGGGTTTCGGTTCTGTGTTGCCTCTATGATGCTGTGTATGTGTGCAGTGGGAAACACTGCAGTATATCTGTCCTGTTCTGAGCCATGGCACAGCACTGGAGGGTGACAAATGGAGCAATCAGTGGTATTTCAGTGGCCCAGCCACCTCTTCCAGAGTGATACAGCAATTAAATTTTGGGTATTATTTTTTTAACAGCCTCGCTTCATGCCCTAGTTCAGGGGTAGGCAACCTTGGCTCTTTTATGACTCATGGACTTCAACTCCCAGAATTCCTGAGCCAGCATGGGGGAAGCTTTGGCCACTTCATGACTCGTGGACTTCAACTCCCAGAATTCCTGAGCCAGCATGGCTCAGCTTGGAAACCTCTCCCTTTCCCCTCAGCATGGCTGGCTCAGGAATTCTGGGAGTTGAAGTCCACAAGTCATAAAAGAGCCACAGATGCCTACCTCTGCCCTAGTCCATTTGCCAGCTCAGGTTTCCTTTTGTCACATTTCCCTCCACGTGTTTACAGGTAGTCCTTGACTTATGACTACCATTAAACCCCAAATTTTTGTTGCTATGAAATTTGTTAAGTGGGCTTTGCCCCATTTGATGACTTTTCTGGCCACATTGGTTAAGTGAATCATTGCAGATGTTAAGTTAGCAACACAGTTGTTAAGAGAATCTGGCTTCCCCTCTCACTTGGCTTGTTAGAAGGGTGCACAAGGGGATCACGTGACCCCCAAGACACCGCAACCATCATAAACATGAACCCATTGTCAATGTCATGTAAATCACATGACCATGGGGATGCTACAGTGCTACATCAGTGTGAAAAATGATCATAAAGTCACTTTTTCCAGTGCCATTGTAACTTAGAACATTCACTAAATGAATTATTGTAAGGACTATCTGTATTTAATACATCACTTGGCTGCCTGGCCCCTATGGAACTATAGTTCTACTTTGGAAGAGTTCTTCTGAATACGGACAGACAGACAGATTACAGTCCTCACCCTTTACCACAATTTCTTTCCAACATGCAGCTGTATTGGAAATTTTTCAGCTCTGTCCAAACAGAAAAGTCTATATCATTTTTGGAAACATCAGAGGTTAATGTGAATAATCCAAAGGATATGTTCATGATTGCCCAACATTTAAGGGGAAAAAAATGTTCTGATACGTACGAGAAAGTCATCCTTTTTCTCCAGCTGCTTCCCACTGCTTCCATTTTCATGACGTTCAATTCATTTCAGAATCTCAGCACGCGTTGCCAGCCATTGGATCTAGAGGTGTTTTCTGAAAGGAGAATGCATAATCAGCTTTGTAGATTCTCAAGTGACAGTTGAAAAAATATCGATTTGCAATTTTGCAAGTATATTCTAAGACGGGGTGGGCAACTATGGCCCCTTTATGACCTGAGCTGGCTGTGGAATTCTGGGAGTCCGCATGTCGTAAAGGGACCATAGTTGCCCATCCCTAGAACATAAACTGTAATAGAGAAAGTGCAACATGGGTGACAATTCCCACAGTGGCTGCCTAACCTCTCCGCCAGCAAACTCCTAAATACTCATTCCTCCATTTCACTTATTAAATCCTCTTTGGCCATTTATTTATTTATGAGACTTATATACCGCTTGAGTCCCCCTCTCAACAGGCCATTGCAGAAGGTTTCATTGGCAGAAATACTGGTAGATATGCCAGTATGAACACAACATACAATTTCCCTCTCTTCCCAATGGTTCTAATGTTGCTTTTATCCCAGAAATAGACAGTGTGCCAGATTTTGGAAATCCATTCTGTAAATCGGTGCTTCTCAATCTTGGCAACTTTAAGCTGTATAGAGTTCAACTCCCACAATTCCCCAGCCAGCGTGAATGATGGCTGGGGAAATTTGAGAGTTGAAATCCACATATCTTAAAACTGCCAAGTTTGTAAAAAAAATAACACCGGTTTACGTAGTTTGCGGGAGAAATGAATTTTAAAGACATTTGCACAGGTAATTTGCCATTGCTTAGTCTAGAGGTCTAATAATTCCACACCGCTTAATGCTGACAAGGCTGAGAAAGACTGATTTAGATTTTAAAATGGCAAATGTTAAACTATTCTGAAAAGTTATGTCTTTTTAAATGTAAGATTTGTAAAATTCGAACTGTAAAATTTAAACCAAAATACTGTCACGTCCTGTTGGCCCTTTCCCCAAATAATTAAGGTTTGTGCGTTGTAGTAATAGGAGTAGTTTATTAAATTTGTATGCCACCCAGCTCTCAAATACTCAAATTACAACCAAATTAACAAAAGATAGAAGATAAAAATAAAAGATGCAAACCCAATGAAGCAAGAAATTGCACTCAGAAATGGTTTTCAAATTTCAGATGGAAATGAAGAGAGTATTACCTTCCTGAACACATACGCATGCTTTTATATGCATGCAATACATATACAAATATGCACAAAGACACGCCTTTAAAACCACATAGGCTGTGTGCATTTTTGCAAGCCTCCCCAAATACATGGAGATGTTCTCTTTTGACTGATATGGTTTCATCTTAAAACTCTGGGAAGATGCTTGAGGCGGAGGATATCAGTTGATCTTGTTTGTGATTTTCATAGTGGTTGAAGGTACAGGAAAATATTGAATAGGACAATGGAAGCGGTGACTACTATGTGGTGTCTTAATCTTAAACTAGATACTCCAAGAAGGACCATGAGAAAAAATTGCAAATATGCTGCCTCCTCCTCCTCCTCCCCCTCCTCCTCCTCCATCTCCATCATTCCAATCTGCAATGTTTCTGACTCCATCTTTCATACCTTACATGTCAGCAGAAATATTCAAATATCAATTCTGGAATAGGAATTACAAAATGCATTTTTCTCCTGGATCTTTTCTAGCTTACACTACTCCATGCAATTAGAGCACTGGCCAGATAATACTTCCCACAACGACACGTTCCTCAATTGGCATAGCAACCCCCCTTTTTAAAGTGCATTCTAGGGTCCATTTAGGAGAGCAAAGGGTGTTCCTACTTCCTCTGAAGAAATAGTAAGGCAATTGATCCTATCATACTCCTTTACTTAATCATGGCAAGGGGAAAATGTAAGAATCATTTTACTTCTCCTTCATATTTGTAGGCAAAAGATACGGTGTCAAACAAGAAGTCACAGAAAAATGCACCTTTTTCACAAAGTCTGTTTTCCCTGGATGGAACTGGATTTCTCCATTTGCTCTTAAAAGTAAAGGAGGCTTCATGAAGTGGCTATGTAGGAAGAATGCTCATCCTGTCTTTCATACTCTGTCTTGTTGGTTAACAGAAACCAACTCATGGTTAGAATCTGTTTCCGTTGCCGAGATCAGAATCAACAACAGTGTGAGTAACAGAAAGCTACTTACATTTAAAAGGCTGAGCTTCTTCAAAGCCATCTAGCACTGAATTATCTTCAAAATTAACACATTTGATAATGCTTACTTACTTACAGTTTCCACGTTCAGGTAGCTCAAATTCTGTCGATCAAAATGCCAATTTAAAAAAAAAAAAATCCTACCAATGAATGGCTGCATAACATCTGAGCTGAGATGTACCGATCTTCACAATTGTTTTACCCTGCAGTTCTACTTTTTTCTTGTTAGTTGTGAAGTCGTGTCTGACCCATCGCGACCCCATGGACAAGGTTCCTCCAGGCCTTCCCGTCCTCTACCATCTTCTGGCGTCCATTTTGGAGTCTACTTTAACTCTACTTAAACCAAGCAACAGTATCAGGTTTCCCAAACTGATTGCTCATGGTCACTTCGGATTGTTAGTAATGGGGTGTAGCCTTCTCAGAAAAACAGATCCCAGATTCTCTGTTTATTTC